CCGCGCCACGTCTGGCTTGACCAGGTCATAGCAGGTGTAGAGGCAGGCGGCAAAGCACTCGCGCTGCCCCTCGTCCACAAAGAAGCGCAGCAGGTCTTCCGCAATCTCGCGGTCGTCGCTCTGCACAGACAGAGAATGGAGGGTGGGATGACGAGGGTTTGGTGGCAATCCCCCCAACTCTGTTCTGGGTGCCAATCAGCCTGCCAAATTCCTGCCCCACAGCAAGCCAGCAATGACGGCATGCCGGACCTGCGCTGCCGTCTCCATGGCATCTTTGTAAAGCTTGTCAGTCTTGGCCAGCGCCACCGCCTTGCGCCACTTCAGGTTGCGCTTGTAGATGAACGCCGCAATGCGACGGAACTCCATCAGCTCGTGCTTCTCCAGCCTGGCAGCATGGGGGTGGGTAAAGGAGGCCAGAACGAGAGTTGTGTAACTGCCACAATTTGCACAACACAACCAGGACTGAACCCCTAATCACGCCCAAAGTCGCTGTTGAAAGACTAAACGCACGGAGCCCCTGCCCGTTGCCTGGCGCAATATCAGCCGCACACAGGGCGCATGAGGCCCCCGAACCACCTGCCAGCCAGCGCCAGCTGGTCGAAGTTGTCGTATGTGGTGATGGAATCGCGCAGCGCCCCAAAGTCCTCCTCCTCGATCAGCAGCTCGTTCACGGCCTCGTTTACCTGCCACGAAGGATGGTACCAGCCCAGACAGGTTGCAAAGATTGCAGCATTCCAGGCAGCACAGCTTTGAGGGCAACTCTAGGCAGCCGCAAATCTGGGGAGGTGCCTGTTGCCTGCACCACCTCCGATGCAACACTACTCTCGCCCAACTCCCTCCCACTCACCGCCAGCAGGTTGTTCTTCTGCACGCTGATGAGGTAGTCCTTGACCAGGGGCAGCTGCCCCGCGCGCCGCATGATGTCCACCACGCGGCTGTGGTCCACCCGCGCCTCGACAACCTGCAGATGCAGCCAGGCGCCAGACGTTGAGCGAGGTACACCAGAGTTGCATTGTTGAGGGGGGGCTGGGGGAGGGGGTGAGTGGCCAGCACACCTTGAGCAGGTCGTTTAACAGGTCTGGGTGCTCCTCCAGGTAGAAAGAGATGCCCTTGTACAGCGTGTCTGCAGCCTTCACCTTGACAGCCACGTCCTTAAACTGCAGGCGGAGTCGAGGCCGGGGCAGCAAAGGAGGGAGCCAAGCATGCAGCTCAGACGGGAAGGGAAGCCCTGGCAGCCCGGCAGCAGCTCTAGACGTGCGTGCAGTATCCGTGTTTCAGGTGGACAAAATACAAGCAAATACACCCACAGGCTCTGCACACCCATTCAAACGCCCATCTTCTTCCCACAGCCCTGTTGCGCCCCACCTGCACGTGCTCCCAGGCCAGCGGCGAGTGCGTGATCATGACGCCCAGCGCGTTGTCGTACTCGTCGTAGGCCACGTACAGGAAAGTTAGCTCCCGCCACAGCTCCAGCTCCTCGCACACACGGATCAGCTGGGGCACGTTGAGGCGCGTGGAGAACAGCTTCAGGTGCTCCATCAGCCGCTCCTGCTTGTGGCGAGCAGTGGGAAGGGAGGGGAGAGTGAAACGTGTTCGCTGGCAAGGCAAACGCTGCCCATAATACTTCCATCTCCCACCGCCGCCCAGGGCAGGGCAGCCAGCACAACTGACGCCAGGTGGCCATCCACTCTTGGATACCCACCGGGCGGTACTTGGCGTACAGCACACCCAGCTCAGTGAAGATGCCCATGTGTGCTCGCTCGAGGCCAATGCCGCTCTCCAGCAGGGAGATGAGCTCCTCATAGTGCCCCCGCGCCTGGTAGAACTCGCTGACCTGCAGTGCCGGGACAGCATCAGAGGTGGCAGCCTTGCAGTCGCTGGGCCCCCTTCACGCTGGGCATTCATGCGAGCTACCACTGCCCTCACGCCCACCACCCACCTCCATCAGGTCATCAGCGTTGATGATGATGTTCAGGCCGCACAGCTGCGCCAGCTTGAACTCACCCTCTTCCACGCAAGCATAGCACACCTCCTTCCAGGTGCGTGGCGAGTTGGCCTGCAGCAGAGGCACAGGGCGCCAACAAGAGGCACAGTTAACAGGAATGCCTGCACTAGGGAGAGGCCAGGATGCAGGTGGAGCCAGTGGCTGGCAAATACAGCTTGGGGACAGAGGCGTACAAGGGCATGGCAGCAGCGACAAATCAAAGTGACATGCCTTGCGTGCGGCGTCCACTGCGGGCTGGAACTGATGCAGCCGGACAAGCGTGGAGGCGAGGCGGCCATAATTGGGAATGCGGGCATAGATGAGGCGCGCAGGTTCATACAACCCTTCCTCAAAGCACCTGCCAGGAGCACCAAAGAGAGAAGGGGCAATTGATAATGGAAAGTGAGAGGAGGTAGTGAAGAGCAAGACTGCCAGTCACTTGCTCTGAGCATCTCCAAACAATCACAGCACACACGCACCTGTCGCCCACAGCCTGCAGGTTGGCCAGGTGGCTGCCGGTGATGAACTCCTTCAACGCGCCCAAGTCCTTATTCTTGGCGTATGCATACACCAGCTCGGTGTCCACCTGCTTGCATGCGTTCAAAGGGTGTTCCAGTGGGTTGGAAAGCACACACACACGAACATGCGTGGGGAAGCTGTCCAGGCAATGACGCTCTGCTGGCTGATCCACAGCTTTGCCCAGGCAAAAAAGCACAATGGTCCGCTGCAGGGCACGGCAGGCGCCGGGCTTGACCACCGAGAAACACAAAATGCACGATGATGGAGCCGCACCTTGGGGTCCTTGACTTTCTTGCGCACCATAAGCAGGTACTTGGCCAGGTCCTCGTACTGCCCAGACTGCAGAGTCAAAGCGGAATGAAGAGGTCTTCAGGCTGCACATCTCAAACCTCGACTGGTTGGGAAACCTGGCAGGCATGCCGCATCCTGCCACAGGTTGGGCTGGGGGAGACCACACCTCGCTGGCCTTGGCGATGACCTCGTTGTACTTGGTTGTGTCAGCAGCACGCAGGTAAGCAGCAATGGCGTCAGACACCTGTGCATGCTCCAGGTATGAATTGGCCAGCTCGCTCCACACGGTGGGTTCGTCCACCTGTACCAGGCATCAGAAGGCCAAACAATGCCAGCGTCAGGTATGCGCCTGTAAGCCAGGCAAAATGCCACAGGTGCATCCCTTACCTTGGTGGCAAACTCGTGTGCGCGGTCCAAGTCCTCCATGTGGTCCAGCACCACCTTGATGGCCTGCTGCTTCAGCCCAAACTTCTTGTAAATCTCAAATGCCTCCTCAAACAGTTCATAGCTGCAGCGACAGGCACATCCAGAATGAAGTGACCAGGCATTGGCACAGGTTAGAAGTGAACGGCAACAGCGCAATGCGTCCCTGCTCTCACACCCGCCAACCAACCCTGGCAATTTTTTGCGCCGGAATGGACAGCAGCGCACAATCACGCACCCCACAGCGATCTCGCCCACAGCGGGGCCATCAAAGTTGTCCAGCCTATGGATGTAGTCCTTGACACGTGACTTGTCAGCCTTGATGGCGGTGATTATGAGCAGGTTCTGCAGGCATGAGGAGGTCAATGACCATTGACGACATTCATTCAAAAAGGTTCGTGCAGTGTCGGCGACATGTGCAGCGGCGGACCAAATGCAAGATTCGACGAATGTAGGCCGTGGGCAGCAAGTGGCGCCCAACCTGCAGGTTGTGGTTATTGGAGAAGGAGGAGTTGTTGAGCACAATCTTCTCCAGAAGCTCGATCAGCTCTGCCTGCAGGTCAGCCTGCATGAAGGCCTTGACTGCAACCGATACGCTCTCGGGGTTCTTGCACTCGGGCAGCGCCGTGGAAACGACCTGCGAGGTGGTACATGGCAGCAAAAGGCAGGGGGCGCGACGGGGCATAAAAATCAACTCCAAGGTGGGACGGGCATCAAGCAATTCCAGCCTGCCAACTTGCGTGGCACACCAAATTGTTGCCCTCACCTGGTCGATAAGCTGGCGCCGAAACTTGTTGTCGTCGCCTAGCACCGACAGCCACAGGTCAGCATCGCTACGTTCAACAATGTACCGCGCCTGCAGCCAGTTGGTTGCAGTTGGCAGGAAGAGCAAGTACAAGCGTCAGTCAGTTGGCAGGATCTCCTCCGCCGATCCCTCCTCCCAAAACCTAAAAAGACCCTGCTGCTCCGCCCAATAATGCCGACCTCCAAAAGCCACACCTGCAGCTTGAACATCGCGTTCTTGTTGGTGCACTCCACGAGAGCCTCGTCACACTGCCCTCGCTTGTAGGCCACGCAAGCCAGGCTGGGGTCCCGCTTTTCCGCAAATTTGCCCACCACCTGCGGGTCACAGTCAAAAGGCGCAACCAGGGCGGTGGCAACATGGGCTGTAATGCCAGCAAGGCAAAACACCGCAGAATGGCGGCGACACTGACAGGCAGCCTGCGGTGGCCAGCTGCCCACCAGGGAGTCGTAGTAGGGGTTGGTGGTGAGGAAGTGCTCAGGGTTGTTGTTGGTGTCAACGATGATCTTGCCCAGTGCGTTGTGTACTTGGGAGTCCTGCTGGTACAGGAAGGCGGCGCAGGTGGGCACAGAAAAAATCAGCGCCGCATGTTTCCAAAAACGTCCCATGATTGCCCAGCAATGACGCCGCACCCACCTTGGACCCTTCTGACACCAGCTGTTCCAAGAAGGGGTTGAGCATCTTGAGCTTGTTGCGCTTCTCCACTTCTGCCACGAGCGCCTCAACTGGGATCAGGCTGCGCACCGACAGGATGAGGTTGTTAATGAAGCTGTCCTCTGCCTCGGCGTCCAGCAGCGCGCCGACAACCTACAGATGGAAGTGTAACAGCGAGGAGCAGGGTGTGCTTAGGTGGAGGCAGCCAACAACGGTGGGATGGAAAGCTATGGCAGCTCAATCTGTGCCAAAAGCCTAGGACCTAAATATACATGGAGTATCTCCCTGGAGTGTAACAGCCGTCCCTCCCCGCCCCACACCCATCCCACCGAATCAACCATCGCTGTACCAACCTGCGGCGCCTTTTGCGGGTTGACCTTCTGCACATAGCCCTCGATGTAGCGGTACATGTTTTTTTGGTAGAGGTACAGCGTGAGGTCGGGCACCATGTCAAAGCGGTCGCACACGTTGATGAGCGGTCGCGCATCGGGCAAGTTGGCCTGCGCGGCGGTCAGAGAGGCGGGTGGTGAACATGCCCGCCACAGCCCCAGTGCCCCCAATGCCTCCCTCCCTCTGGTCCCTTTGTCCATGACGCAACACACCCACCTCCATAAGGAAGGTCTTCACACGGTCGGGCGGGTAGAAGTTGGACTCGCGCGTCACACGCTCCACCTCCTTCAGCTGGCCCGTCTTGGCTGCCGCCTCAATGTACTTGTAGTGCACCTGCAACGGTTCAACATCGCGCAGGATCGTTGGCACGCCACCAGAGAGGCCAGGCAGGATGGCTCAACAACCACCTCGGCTGCTGCTGCCCTGCGCTTGCACAGGCCGCGTCTCAACCAGGTCCAGCCTCCATACCTCGGGGTTCTCAGAGAAAGCCAGGTGTGCGCCCAAGTAAAAGTAGAGGCCGTGATAGCTTTTGTGGCTCTCCAGCAGCTCGATGATCTTCTCCGCTGTCAGCTGCTCGGTGTACTCCTTGGCCACATTCACCACAATCTGCAGGTTCTGCTGCATGTTGGTCTCCAGAAGCACCTTGAGGCACTCCAGGGCCCACTCGGCTGCAAGTGCCAGGGAGATGAGCGGGCTCAGGGTTTGCAGAGGCGAGCAGGTGGGTGCGTCCACATACCCAGGAGAGAGACGCAAGCGCACCCGACAGCGTGCCAAAGTACTCCACCAGCGCCTGTGGCTCAATTGCATGGGTGTTGACGATGACGCGCTTGATGTCGCTGCGGGTGAAAAGGGAAGCGATTTGTTTGATCAGCAGCAAAAGTGCAGAGTCAAAATATGTGAGGGCACGCATGCGAGGGGCGAAATTTGCGGCGCAGCCCTTAGCCAAGAAACTGTGGCACCTTTAGCGCCCACCTGAGATCAGTGTAATGGTGCAGCGCACGCATGTACAACCCCGCCTTCTCACACAGCTGCGCCACGCGCGGACGGTCATAGTGCGTTAGCATGCCGTTGGCCAGGATGGCATCTGCCACCTGCATCACAGGGCAACATCACAGGTGTGAGTATGGACATGGTGAACAGGCAACGACGCGGCAGACAGGCGGTCCACAGACGGGAAGTCGCGCTGCTCAACCACCCTCCTACCACCACCACGTGGCGCACCCACCTGCGGGTTGGTGATGAGATTGATCTCGAGCAGCTTGGTCTGCAGCACGCCGTTCTGGGGGTCGTTGTCTTGCAACACTTCGAGCAGGAAGGCCGTCGCCTCGCGCACCATATTGCGCTGCAGGAACAGGTCCGCCATAGTGTTGATGTCCAGCGGCGGGCCAGGCTGCAGGAAGGGGGGGCAGGACGGTTGCACTGTGAAAAATTGCAGTTGGTTGTTGGGTTGGGTGCAAGATTGGGGAGCTTGAGTCCATGGCAGACAGAGTCCATGGCAAAAAACACAAGGCAGTAAACAAGGCAACCTCGTGACACCCCACAGAAGCTGCATTGCCTCTTGTGAGCATTGCCCTGTCCTTGGCATTATCACCCCAGCTGCCACACCCCGTGGCCCTCCTTCTCATCTCATGCACCTGTTTGGCCACCATCTTAGCCAGGTTGACAGCGGCATCCGGGTTGTCAATCATGAGACGCTGCAGCAGGAAGAGGTAATCGGGCGAGGCGCCGCTGGAGCGTGTGTACTGTGCCTGCAGCCAGGGGCAGGCCGGACAAGGCAGTAACGAAGGAATAGTGAGTCAAAAGTACGGGCGGACAACAAGAACCAAGAGTGTGTCAGGTAATCAGGTTGCAGCAGAACGGCATCGCAGCTACGCGTGTTACGGCTGGGAGCAAACACGTAGGACCACCGTGATTTCTGACGATCGCTGCAACAGAGAACTGGCACGTGGGCAATAGCAGCACGCACCAGCTGATCAAAGTCTCCCTTGGCTGCCAGCGCCTCCACAACCTTGCCGCTGGCGCCGGAGGCTTGGTAAATGGCCTGTGCGGTATCCCAATCAGATGCGCCCTTGAACAGGTCGCCCAGCTCCTCACTGGCAGTCAGCTTGCCCTCCTGCACGACAGTTAAAAGGGCAGCAGTGCAGCGAAATGGGAATGGGGGGTGCGCGCAATGCATGGGAGAGGATCGGCTGCAGAGGATATTTCCTTGCTCCATATGGGACCGACTGGATGGATGTAGTCACGAGCAGGCAGGCATTTGACATAGGCAGGCGCAGCAGGCTTACGCCAGCTGGGCTACCCACGCTGTGCCCCAGCACCAGCCCATTCGCCCAGCCACCCGACTTCCAGCACTCTCTGCCCACCTTCCACCAGTTGTCCAGCAGCTGCTTCTTGTTCTGACCCATCACCAGCTGCCCCAGCTCCACCGACTCCAGCGCATTCAGCTGGCTCTTGGTGAGGATCGTGCCGAAGTAGACGAGCAGCGGGGAGGTCTGACCGGGCTGGGCTGGCACGCGCTTGAACGCCTCAATCGTCTCCTTGGTGCGCAGCGCCCCCTGCGGGCTCTGCGCAGCCAGCTCTGCTGCTTCCTTGTACTGCCCGCCGGCATAGAGCCGCTGGAACTGCTGCACAATGAGCCCTTCAGCACCCGGCAGGTTGCCGCGCCGCGCTAGCGCCATGGCCAGATCCAGGTTCTGCAGCTGCTGGCTCACAAAAGGCACCAGCGCGTCCTCGTTCACTGTGCCCAGCAGCACCTGGCCGCGCCTGCAGAACAGGGGGAGGATACAGTGCAGCGCAAGCTGGTGGGTGAGGCGTGGCAATCAAGCCCAGCAGCCCCAATGCCCAGCACAATCAGGCCCATCAAGAGCCCCTCGTCACCACAAGCGTGCCTATTGATGGCAGTGAAGCCGCCAAGCTCAGGCGCAGGGGCAGCCAAAAAGATGGGGTCTGCGGAGATGCGGGTGCGGTAGACGGCGGTAGCGGTCTCCAAGTCGTACACAAACAACAGGCCCAGCTTGGTGATCACGTACACAAGGCCGTACTTGTCGCTGCCAGGAAGGAAGGACGCACAAAAGCGGAAAGAATGCTTTAGGCGCGAGGATTGGCGCCTTGTGCAAGAATGCTGGGCGACAGCAGGTGTCTTGTGCACAGCCAAGGCCGTCCAGCTGGCCACCAACCATAGAACAGCTTCCCAGTGGAGTCGCAGCCCACGATGCAAACGGCCTGCGAGGACAACCACATTGCCCACCTGATTTGCATGGAAACAGGGAAGTCGTCGGCAAACTCGGGCGGGAAGAAGAGCTCGGCGCTCTTTTTCAGGCTCGTCTGCCCTGGCAGGCCCAGTTCAATGACGTGCAGCTTGGACACCACGCTGCCGCCAGGGGCAGCCGTTTTTTGCGCAAAGCTGATGACAGGGGCAGAAGGCTTGCCGCCCAACGCCAGCGTGGTGAAGGCAGCGGCGTGAGCCTCCAGCGCTTGGCTGCGTGCCTGCTCCATGCTGTACAGCTGCATGAAGCCCTTCACCAGCTGCGGGCGCTCAGGGGCTCCGGGGGCAATGCCAACCAGCACGCACCATTTCTCTGTTGGGTCCATGCGGTAGCTGATTATCTGAGTCTGCTCTAAGTTTGCTGCCCGGTCAAAGGCCTTGACCGGATCGCCAGAGGCAGCCTGCAGGGGGTGAGAAGCGGGTGGGCACATGCCCAGGCAGCAGGTGGGGATGCCAGGACAACAGCAGCGGAATGTGGGATCCGACACTCGCCATCGCCCTGGTAGCTGCTGCTGCTGCTGCTCAGCTGGCATTGGGCTGTAGAGCAGCCCAGCCGCAGCGCATGACAGTAAGGAGGCATGCAGGGCCTTAGAACTCAACACCGCCGTGCACCCTTGCGTACACACGAGCGCAACCCACCTCCACATCCCAGTGATAGACTGCGGTAGCGGTGACCAGGCCAAGCTTGCTGGGCGACACCCACTTCCAGAACACCACGGGCTGCGGGAACTGCACGCTCTTCAGCTTGGACTTGGTGGCCAGGTTGAAGATCTGCAGGTTGTCACCCTCCACGCCTGGCACCGAGGCCTTGAGAGCAATCACTTTGCTGACGGGGTTCATGATGGCGCTGTCGGCCTTGATGGGCCGCTTCTCGGGGGCGCTGGGGTTGGCCGTGTCGATAATCACCTACAGCACAGCGGGCACAAGCAGCATGAGAACGTCTTCGAATGGGCTGGAAGGCAGAAAAGGAGCTGCTGCTTTCCTGCAGCCCCATGGGCCCCGCGCGCCCGCCTCACCAGCTGGCTCTGGTCCCCTGTCTCTCGCACACAGATGTGCTTGTCACTCTCCATGGTGACATTGGTAAAGGTGATGGCATTCTGCTGCACCCCCAGGCTCTGGAGCTGCAACGGGAGGAGGTTGGGAGGAAATAGGGCAGTCGGATTCGACATGCGGGCGGCTGGCGGCGGCGGTCAGCAGCGCGCGCGGAACTGGCAGCACCAGCGCCCCGACCGCTGGCGGCTGGTTATCTGGTGCTTCTGCGGCCGGGGACTCGGTTGCTGGGCCCGCGGGGCAGAGTGCGCCAGTAGTCCAACGGCATTCTGTGCTTGATCGCGCGCCCCTACAACTCATCCAGCCCGCCACTCACGTTGAGCACCTCCTTGAGCCCGATGGGAGGCTGTGCCATCGTCGTTTCTCTCCCAGCCACTCGATCGAGCTGGCCGCGGTTGCGCGGCTCCTCTTCGCGCCTCTTCCCGGGCAGTCGGTACTATTGGCGCTCTAAGGTAGTTGCGTTTTTGCTGTTTTCTTCAGGAGCGCGCTTGGCAATGCGCCTGATTATGTGTGCGGCAGTGTTTTCGTGCCCCTTGGATCAACCAGAGAGAGATCTACCTGCGGCCCTCTCGCTCTGAGGACAAAGAAGACACAGCGGTGCCGCCCTTGAGCCGGCTAACAGGTGCGCCTTCCTCTCGATCGTCGCCGACGCACACAGCTGGTGCATTCACGCCAGTGCTTGATGTAGCATGCCGCAGAGCTCATCACGCACTGCCCCGCAGGCACCCCTGGCGGGCATGGCGGTGCCAGGAGCGGGCCTGCTGGCCCTCCTGCGCAAACGCAGTGAGCCGGAAGAGCCGCGTCTAGGTGTGGTGGCGACCGCCGCAGCTGCAAGCAAGTTTGAGGCGCGCAGCTCTGCGGTGCACGCGCTGGAGCACGCAGTGGCAGCCGGCACGGTCGCAGAGGCGGCACGGCCGCAGGCGCAGGGGCGCCGCATCCCGCCGGGGCCCAGATATACGTATGACGTTGACACCCATGTGCCCCATGAGGCGCAGCCGCAGCTGCCGGTGCGCTGCGTGGGCCGCCGCCACCTGGCTCCTGGCGTGCACCGCCGGTTCAGGAACAGGCATGTGAAGGTGCTGTGCAAGCCCATCCAAGCACAGCCCACTTGTTTGCACCTGCTTCTCCTTACTGTCCGCCTGCGTCGTCCGAATCGAGCTGCAGGTGACTCCAGTCACGCTGATCAACACCGACTATGCGCTGCACCACTGGAGGCAGATCGCCGTCGGCCCCAGCTACATCTGCTACGGCCTCAAGCAGGGCCACATCCGCGTGTTGAGTCGCCACTCGGCTGTGCGAGCCCTTCTCAAGGGCCACACCAAGCCCCTCACCGACCTGCAGTTTGCGGCGGCCTCGCCCGACGCAGGGCATGACAGCGGCAGCAGCAGTGCGTCCAGTGCATTCAACGAAGTGCTGCTGGCCAGTGGCGGCCATGACGGTCAGCTGTTTGTGTGGCACCTGCAACTGGATGAGGACAATGCCACCATCCGCGAGACACAGCAGCTGCATGCCAGCTTTGCGTCGGCAGCAGGTGGGTACGTGTGTGTGGGTTCACCGTGGGGTGGGTGGGTGGGGGTGGGGATCATTGGCGCGACTGTCGGGTTACGGCAGTCAGCTGGTTAATGGTGCTTGCCAGCACTGTGTTGCATCCTGCTCCGCTGATGTTCTGGCACTTGCCTGCAGGTGTTTCAGGAGACGTGCTGTTGTCATGGCACGCGCCCAGCCGGCGCGTGCTTGCGGTGGGGGTGGGAGGCAAAGTGCTGCTTGTGTCTGTGCCTGCTGACGGCGGCATGGAGCAGCTGGAGTTCGACCTCGATGATAACTCTACGCCAGGTGGGCGCTGATTCGGCGGGGAAGAGCATTAAGATTGGCTGGATCGCTGCTAAAGGCCCTCCAGCTCCCCATCCCTGCCTGCCACGCATCAGTCGTGCACTGGCATCTCATAGCCCACTGTTGTCGCTCTGTTTGCAGATGCCACTGTACTGCCCGACTGGAGTGGCGAGGCGGTGACGTGCCTGGCTTTCTCACCTGACGGCCAGCTGCTGGCTGCTGGCGGCGCTGCCGGCTCCGTGCTCGTGTGGCAGCTGCAATCCTTATCAGCCGCGGGGCCCGGCGGCAGCTCCTCACTGGTGGCCACCCACAGCGTGGCAATCCTTGCTGCCGCTGACAATGGCACTGCTGCTGGCGCTGCGGTCGGCGCAGTGTGCTGGCTACCCATGCCTCAGGGCTGGGCGCTTGTGACGGGCAACCGCAACAATGCTGCGCTTCAGCTGTGGCACAGTGTTTCCCTGGAGGGCAGTTGGAAGCTGCTCCAAACCCTGCAGTTTGAGGGCAAGAGCGGGCAGCAGGAGTTTTACAGCCACGTGGATGTGGTGCCCGCCCAGCAGCTGGTGGTGCTGGCAGACACCGCGCGCAAGGCAATCTACACGCTGCACTACTCGGGTAGGGCACAATGCAGATTGGCAGAGCAACTTGATTGTTTGACCACTGATGTAGTCGCGCCCTTCAGCTCCCTGCTGTCACTGGCATTGGGGGCTTTCTGTTGTTGCTCTTCGGTGATCACGTCATCCCCACCCAACCACACTTGCAGGTTCGGGTGCCGACCTGCAGTTTGATTACGTTGCTCGCTTTGGCGTGGCAGTCCCGATACTGTCTTTCACTGCTTTGTGGAACCCCGCGGGTGGCGAGCAGGGCGACAGCCCGCTAGTGGAACTCAACTGCGTGCAGACCACGGCGGTGCAGCAGTACAGCTTGGACCCCGCGCTGTGCTATGCTGCGCCGGACGTATCGCCAGGTGAGTGGGCATGATTTAGGGGAGATGTTGTGTTTTGAGTGGCTGCCTACTTGAAGGATAGTCGCGTGATTAGAGGGGATGTAGGACCGCTCAAAGGTAACGTTCTTCTCCTGTTGCCCTGCAGAGCCTCAGGAGCACGGCGTTGTGCGCCGCAGCAGCCTGCTGGAGCGGCACGGCCAAGACTTGAGCATCAAGCCGCAGCCTTCGACTGCCGTGCCCATGCCCTCAGAAGCTCTTGCTAGCGGCACACCTCGCAATAGCTGCGTGGCAGCAGCTGGCATCGCCCCTCCCGCAGCCGTGGCGGCAGCAGAGAGGGCGGCTGAGCCGGTGGCGGCTGATGCCAGCGAGGCGAGGGCGGCAGACGCGGCACCAGCGCCGCTGCTTGAGCCCAGCATCGAAGGCGTCGTGCCGCTACTGGCCAGCATCCCACCGCTGCCGCCTGCCGATGCACCAGAGTCACCACAGCCCAGGGCAAGCGGGCTGCTGCTGGCTGCCAGCTGTCCGCCTGCCCATGCCTTTGCATGTCAGCCACAGCACGTTTGCCAGCCTCAGGTTCCACGTACCACATCCGCGCTTGTTTGGTGAAGCATTGTTTCACAATGGATATGCAGGGCGCATCAGGCGGTGCGACTCCTGAGGAGTGCCCCAGCCCCCCGCCAACCCCCACCGAGCAGCAACGCCTGGCCGACACAGCAGCAGCCCAAGCAGCGACTGCGGCAACAGCAGTAATGGCGCCGACGCCACCACGGCTTCTCACCCCGTCCGACCTTCTCCAGTCTGCAGGCAGTAGCTCTGCAACCACTAGCCGCAATTCAGCTTCTGGCAGCACCGATGCCGGCCAGTGGGGCGGCCCTGCACAGCCGCAGCCGCAGCACGTGCTGCAGCGCCGGATCGTTAATGCAGCTGCTTTGCCACCTCCGTCAGCAGCCAGGGAGGCGACAGGGGATGAGGGGCAGGTGGCATTGCCGCCCTCGCCGGCCCCACCAGCTACGGCTGTTGCCAGCACCCAGGATGCGGCTGTGGCAGCTGCAGTGCTGGAGCAGATGGGGGGCGTGCACAAAAAGTTTGTGGGGCATGTGTCGCTCATGTACCGCGAACTGCTCAAGGCCATGAAGGCTGAGCTTGGTGTGCAGACGGCACAGCAACAGCAGGCCACTGCACAGCTGCTGGCAGCAGCTATGGAGGCGCAGAAGCAACAGGTGAATGGGGAACAGCTCTTGGGCCCGAAAGTCTGTTTTGTCAGGCTTTGCTGTGTGCCATGGTGTGGACCAGCCGCGCCTGTCACTACCATCATGCGCTGTTATGTCTGTCCCTCCTTTTCCACCTCTTTTAAATACAGATCGAGGCGGAGCGGGCTGCTGTCCTAGCCGAGGAGCGAGCCAACATTGAACGCCTGCTCACCGCCATCTCCGCCACCCTCAACCAAGACCTGCCTTCAAAGCTGGCCGAGGCTGTCCGGGGCGAGGTGGATGGCATGGTAGACGGGCTGGCCGCTGCTTTGGTGCCCGCGGTGCAGACAGCGTTGGCCACCTCGCTGCCCAAGGTGAGTGGGTGGGCTGGGGGTCTGTTGGAAGTGTGGTGACCATCCAGACCGTCAGTGCTGGGGTTTCTGGCAGGTTGCAACAGGCCTCCAGCTTGCTCCCCGCGCTATGCTGGTTATTGTGTTGCATGTATGTGTGTTTGCATTATGATTTTGCCAACCCTGCCTTGTTTCTCCTTCTCAGACCGGCGTCACTGCTGCACCGCTCTGTTCTGCCGACACCAATTCCCGACTGCAGGATCTTGCAGGCGCTGTTAAGTCAGCAGGCCTGGACAAGGCGCTGGCACCCGCAGTGGCGGCTGGGCTGGGGAAGCCGCTGCAGGAGGCCTTCCGCACCGCCTTCACCAAGCAGTTGGTGCCAGCATTTGAGGGAGCCACGCAGTCCATGTTCCAGCAGATCAACACCACGTTTACTGCTGGCTTCGAGCAGCACCTGCAGGTGGGCGTGGCTGGCTGGGAAAGGGCAGCACCTTGGTCGAGAGGGCCTGTCTGGCTGGGAAGCTGAGGGGAGATGCTTGCGCCAATCCAGCTTGCTCGAGCTTGATCATCCACGTGGGCTGTTGCTCCTGCCTGCTGCTCCTGCCTGCCCCCCAGGCCTCCAACTCGGCGCTGGCGGCATCCCTCCAAGCGCAACAGCAGTTGCTGCGGGCGCAGTCAATCGGCACAAATGAATCGCGCAGGCATGTTTATTTGTTCTTTCCACTTCAGGGTGGACCACTTTCCTCCTAAATTGAGTGTGGTGCCTACTCATTGCCCAACTCCATTTCTTGTGCACTGTGCCCCCGACGTCCCGACATCCCTTGCCCCCCCCCCCACCCCCACACACCCCCCCACACACACCCTGCCTGCTGCAGCCCTGCGACCACAGTGGATGTGCGCGGCGAGCTGTCCTCGCTGCTGCGGGCGGGCGAGTATGAACAGGCCTTCTCTCGGGCGCTGGGCCTGCAGGACGTGTCCACCGTGGGCTGGCTGGCTAGCCAGACTGACGCAGCTTCGGTGCTGGGGTGCGACCCCTGCCCCCTCTCTCAAGGGATCCTGCTCAGCCTGGTCCAACAGTTGTCTGCTGACCTTCAATCCAACCTGGGCGTGAAGCTGGCCTGGATCCGGGAGGCGGCGCTGCTGATCAACCCCGCCGACCCGATGCTGGCCCGCCACCTGCGCCCCGTGCTGGAGGGGGTGTATGCCGCGCTGCAGGCTGCGGCGGGGCGGCTGCAGGGCGCCGAGGCCAACAGCTGTCGGCTGGCGATGCATGCATTCAATCGGTTGTTCAATTTGGTTTGAGGGCTTGCGGTTGTTGCATGAACTTCGGGAGTAAAAACGAGATAAAATAAGGCACGGCTTGCAACACACCAGCCGACAGCCGCATGCGGGCTGTGCCACCGGGCGACAGGTGTGGTATTCGCCACACCAGCTGCGACACACCTACAATCAACAGAGTTCGCAACAAAAGGCCTATCCTAGCTTTGATGAGATGTCAAAGTTGTATTGCTAGCTGATGTGGCAAATGAATATTTTGCATGAATCATCCATAGGTCCTCAGATCCCCCAGAGGTTCAGCAAGCACGATGTTGCGCCGCGCCACCGCCTCCCTGGTGCCCCGGCTGCTGGCAGAGGGAAGCCAGAGCGCGGCGCCCCTGGCAGCGGCCAGCCAGACCCTCGCCTGGGTCCAGCGACGTGAGCAGGGTGGGAAGGGAGCAGGGGCCGCCTGGGTTTGCCACAGGCTTGTCTCACGCCGCTGCCCTCGCCTCCTGCTTGCAGCCTACTCCACGGCCTCCACGGAGCTGGCAACGGCGGGAATGCCGCCGACGGTGTATGCAATGAAGAACCCAACCCCGGCTATCAGGTGGGGCAGCTCGGGGGGCGGCGGAGAGCTGCGGCGCTGGCGTCAGAGCGGGTGCTGGGAAAACTGGGCTGCCCCCATCCTCCTGCCCATCCCACCGCAGCTATGACACCTCCAACCACACCCCCTACCCCGTGGGCGACCCCTCCAAGCGTGCCTTCACCTACTTTGTGCTGACTGGGGGCCGCTTCATTGGCGCGGCAGCAGTGCGCCTCGCGGTGCTCAAGTTCCTGCTCTCCATGACCGCCACCAAGGACGTGCTGGCGATGGCCAACCTGGAGGTGGACCTTTCCAACATCCAGCCCGGCCAGACCGTGACGGTCAAGTGGCGCGGCAAGCCCGTGTTCATCCGTCACAGGTGACTCTGGCGCCGGCCTCACTCACCACCTGGCCCATTGCCCACCCTCGCCAGCCTCTCTTGTGTGCTTACTTCTTTTCATTTCCGCCTACCCCACAGGACCGCTGCCGACATTGCTGCTGCCAACGAGGTGGATATCAGCAAGCTGCGCGACCCGCAGCCCGACTCGGCACGCACCAAGGACCCCAATGTGAGCCCAGCACTTGTGGCTTGTGGGCTACCTTGGCAACTCCACTGCTCAGTGCAGCAGGCGTGGCTGCTTGTTGGGAGCCTTCAAAGGGCTGCCGGGCATGTAGCTCATGGGTGGGGTGCTGCAACTTGTCCTGCTCCTCACCTCCTCGCCCCTGCCCACCCCCGCCCCCACCATACGCTCCAAACACACCCTGCAGTGGCTGATTGTGCTGGGCGTGTGCACGCACCTGGGCTGCGTGCCGCTCAACAATGCGGGCGACTACAATGCCTGGTTCTGCCCCTGCCATGGCTCTCACTACGATTCCTCGGGCCGCATCCGTAAGGGGCCCGCCCCCTACAACCTGGAGGTCCCCGATTATGTGTTTCTGGATGACGGCAAGGTGCTGGTCGGCGCCAACCAGGCATGATGCCACTTACAGTGCATGCATCTGAGGCTGATGCCCGGAGGCTGGCGGTCGCGTCAGCTGGCCGTGGTGGACCACAGGCTGCGTGTTGCAGCGCGTTGTTGGGGTTTGCCGTCCCCACTGTGGCTCTGCACACTTTTGCGCTTGGCTCGCTCTTGTTCACTGCACTGTTTTGTTCCGTTCGCGGCGGATTGATTCTGCCCCCTGGAGGTTGTGAAGATGCACATGCCGTTGCTGCCAGCTCAGCGGTCTGTGCTGGCTTTTTGGCCTGCCTTTCGTAGCGTAGCGAAGAAGGGGAAGGCCTCCGGATCCCGACCATACCGACTTTGACACACCCATTTCACGGCAACTCACGCTCAGTTTTGCCTTGTTGGCAACTCTAATTTCCTTGCACTGCATTAGAAGACTAGATTACGGTTCACTAGCCCTTTAGGAGCATTTCTGTTGCGACTTGGCCGCGAAAGAGTGCCAGACCACGAAGATTGAGGGGCGCCACCGTGGCGCGAGCCTTTTTGCCAGCCGTTGTGCACTCCGGCTGCCACCGCCACCCACATTCCTCCACCTTCTGGTTCCCGCCCGATCTGCCCTCTTCCACCACCCTGCATCTACGACTCCTTTCAAGGGGGTCTGCATCCCAGGGCAGGCAGGCCCTCGCGCGCGAAAGCACGATTATCATCTTTGATTTGATCAACCAGCAAAGATGGCCAGTGTGCGTGTCTGAGGTGCAGCCGTCATGGCACAGCGTGAGGATGCGGAAGAGGTTAGCGCTACTGAAACTCCCCACTCTGGGGAGCCCGGAGTGGGACCAGGGGCATCGGGAAACCTGACCGCCTCTTGCCGCCGCTCTGCAGCGTTCTTCCCCACTGTTCCCTTCCACCCTCCAGCATCCCCACTTCCCCCACTTGTTCCCTGCCGCCCTACACATCGTTGCAGCTGCCAGATGAGGCGACCGAGCAGCCCGCAGGGCCACGGGAGCAGCCTGCAGCAGCCAACGAGCGCACGGCGCCAGAGCTGCCGCCAGCGGTGATAATGACCACTTCAGTTGAAAAGCCCCCATCTGTGTCAAAGGAGGTCCCTGCAGCTGCTCAAAAGCTCGTGGGTTTTCCAAAAGAAAAGAAGAAGCACCATTTGCTCCGTCATGAGATAACGCGCGAGGCGCGGGACGCCGCCACTGCCCACTTTGGCGCCAGCACTGCAGAGGAGGCGGCGCACATTCTGTGGCGGCTCAAGTGCGTGCTGCTGGCACGCAACCCGCTGCTGGCCTGGGGTGTGGCCATCCCCGGGGGGGCGCAGTTGCAAGTGCAGGGCGCACCGTCACGGGTGTAGTGCAGGCTGCGCACAACGCATCCCGTCCCGTCCTCTCATTCCACACTGCCTGATGCAGGCAGAAAGAGCTGCAAGAAGCGTTTGCATGTGTGTATAGAACGCCCACCAATAGCTGCAACAATGGTAAGCGGCCAATGCTGTGCTTGCTGCTGAGGTGCATTGCGAAAGTCCGGGTGTGGAAGGGACATGATGCTAAGCGCTGCAATGGTTCTCACTGCGGCGCTATACTGTTGGTGCAGAGTGGATGCGCGGCAAGCTTCTACAAGGTGAGGCAGGGCATGTGGGCTGCATGCTAGCTTGCTCTACCCCCATTTTGCGACCTGTGGTGCATCCGACACAGGCCTGTTTTACCACCAAGCCCTTTTTCCTCCCCACCTGCAGCCTTGGGCATGGATGCGCGCTGGCGGCCAGCCGCATTACAGCCGCCCAAGGAGCTCTCCCCAGCCCCCACGCAGCGCGACTCGCCGGAGTTGCTGGAGTGTGAGCGCACTGACGTGAGCCGGTATGGGAGGCGGCGGCGAACGGCAGCTCTAACAGCGCTGCAGGCACAAAGCGGCGAGGAAGAGGACTCGCCGCCCCCGCAGGCGCGCCGCTCGGGGGCCAAGCTTACTGCGAGCAAGGCAACCAGGAGAGGTGCTGAGGCGGCCATGCGGGCAGGCGGCAGCAGCCACAAGCGTCCTCGCCATGCTGCTGAGACGTTCAGGAATCCAGAGCCAACGCCTGCTGCGCCGGCTGTGCAGCCACTACAGCTGCCGCTGGTGCCAGCCGCTGACGTGCTGGATTGCAGCATGCCGCCTGGCGCCGCTGTCGAGGCACTGCGTACTGTCCTTGGTGGCATGCCACCCTCAGCAGCAGCAGCAGCGGGAGCACTACAAGGCGGCCTGCCTGTCAGCAATAGGCACATGCCGGCAGCACACACTCTGGTGTCGGCAGCGTCGGCAGCGGCGCAACCTCAGCAGGTGACGTCGGGGTGCAGCGCTGACTGGTATGGCCGTCAACTGCAACAGCTGCAGCTGCAACTACCAGTTGCACCGGCACAGGTGGAGGAGCGGCGGGGCCCGCTGTCGCCGCCAGCACGCCGCGTGCCGCCCACCGATGGGCCCTCCCTCATGGCAGCGGCTGCAGCGCTGACAAGCGGCCGGCAACTGCCGTGGGCCTTTCTGCAGCTGCAAAAGGAACATCAGAAGCTGCTGCAGGAGCAGGACCACCAGCAGCTTTTGTTGCATCAGCAGCATCAGCAGCAGCGATATCAATTACTTCTGCAACATCACCTTCAACACAATTCGGTCCAACAAACGTCTCCTGTTGACCTGAAGCAAGATGAGGTGCAGCCACGGCCACGCCTTCCTGAGCAGCCAAGCTGGGCATCGATGCCCTCCCTGTCAATGTCTCTGGGGTCCATTGGCCTGTTGCCCCTCAGTGGGCCATCGCCCCAGCCGCAGCTACTGCTGCCGCCACTTGGGCAGCCGAATGCATTCACGGGCAGCCTGGGGGGCGGGCTGGCGGCTGCCCTTGGCGCTGGTGCTGCAGAGTCCTCAAATGGACCCACAGCCCTGCAGCAGCAGCTGGGCAGCCTGCCCTGGCCCCTGCTGCCGGGACAGCGGCCAGGCGACAACGGCGTGGCAGCGCTGCTGGAGGCGCAGCACGCGCAGCAGGCTGTTCTCGAATGGCGGAAGGCGCGGGTCAATGGCAGTGAAGCGATTGGTCCGCGAGCAGCTGCCACAAAGGTGGGTGTGGCGCCAGTGATGGCAGCGCCGGCCACTGGGGATGCGCAGGCGCAGCTGCCTGCGCCGCTGCCCTTCTGGAGCTGGATGCAGCCCCAACAGGTGGCGGCAGCAGCAGCGGCAGTGCAGCAGCAGGCGCTGGCGGCGAGCAGGGTACAGCCCCGCTCGGGTGCCAGCGTAGCCACTGGGCCCAACCCATTCAACCCATTTGCTATGGCAGCCGCGGCGGCTGCTGGCGCTTCTGGGCAGCAGCAGACGGCGGCGCTGCAGGAAGTGGGTGGGCCTGTGCCACTGCCCGCGAGCACGCTGAGCACAGAGCTGCACAGCCTTTTTAATTCATGGCAGGAGGGCAATGTGTCGTTCATGGACAGTGTCCCTAGCCGAGGAGCGAGCCAACATTGAGCGGGTGACTACCACCGGTCTTATGAGCGGGTGACTACGGTCCTACGAACTTCATTGGGGAATTTTCTCAATACACCTGTTTAAAAGTACCTGTTTTACCAGTACCTTTTATCAAGTTTGTTACCAAGTCTCAAACATAGGCGGCCACGTCGTCAAAAACTGACGCCTTGCTCCTGCACCTCTTTCCTGCCGCTGCTAATCCCTCTTGTAAGTCAATGCCATGTTGGCGTGGACATGCCAGAAGATTTACATGATTGAGGCAGGCATTGTGCGTGCAGTTTGACAGCTGTGAGCAAGCGCACGTGTGATGGTGGGGATGTGGGGTAACGCGCATTTGCGCCTGTGTTTAGTCCAGGCGTTCAATGACAACCGCGGAGGCGCCGCCGCCACCTGCAAGTGGGAGAGCACTAGCCACACTGGGCACGCAGAGGCACCGCACTGCGAGTGCACAGTAGGGTACGCACCGTTGCATATGGTGGCACACCCCAGCTTCGCATCCTTTTGGCGCAGAATGTTAAGCAAACGGACAACCACGCGGGCACCGCTAGCACCAATGGGATGACCCATCGCGACGGCGCCTCCAAACACATTCACCCTGCAAACGCAGACAGGTGAACAGGCAGATCGAGGGCAGCGGCGCAGGGTTTTGATCAGACTGGCAAGGCTTGCACACAGGGTTCTCGGTTCTCCTGCAAGCAAGCACAAAAAGGGCTGTGCCCAGCCCACCTCTCCGGGTCCAGGTCAAGCAGCATGCGGTTGGCCAGATCCACAACCGAGAAGGCCTCGTTCACTTCCCAGTAGTCAATCTCACCGATTCTCACGCCTGCAGGTCCACGGCAAGGAAGGCAAAGTGTCAACGAAAGCCTACAGCCAGGCTGGCTCAATAAAACATGGCCTGCTCAACAGACTGCAGCAAAGGAAGCCTAATCACACCAGCAGCAGATTGCAGCAAACTCTGCTGCATGCTGTCCCTGCTGCCCCCGCCACAACGCACCAGCATGCTCCAGTGCCTTTGGCACCGCCAGCGCGGGCGCAGTGGGAAAATCGCGAGGGTCGACTGCTGCATCCCCGTATCCAACAACACGCCCCAGTACTGGCAACCCATGCTCCCTTACTGCCCGCCCTGATGCCAGCACCACTGCTGCCGCTCCATCGCTGATGGGCGACGCATTGCCGGCTGCAGGCAAGGAGTTCATTCGGATCGAACAACACAGGTTTGGGCAGCGGCACTCACACCCAGCTGCTGCTGACCCGTGATGGTGCCGCCCTGAGGCCGGAAGAAGGGCTTCAGCTTGCGCAGCTTGTCCACGTTCATTTTGGCGATGGCCTCGTCCTGCAGCGCCAAGCAGTGGCATGGGCATGCAAAGCCGCGCGGTGTCGCATGTGAGTCCTGGCCATAATCACAAAGCCTCCGCATCCACCCAACCCACCCACCCCTACCTCCTTGATTAGGACAGTTCCGCCACTCTGGCTGGGCACCTCCACCGGCACCACCTCCCAGTCAACAAGCCCCTCTGCCACCGCCCGTCGCGCCCGGTCCGCGCTGGCAATGGCATGAGCGTCCTGGGCCTCGCGACTTATGCCCATCCGCTCCGCGCACATCTCTGCATCCAAACAGGCAACCAGTGTATATTGTCTACGCACCAAAACAAACAGACATTGCCAGTTGATGCGCACCAGCGCACTCGCCCATGTGGATGTCATGAATGGCGTCCCACAGTCCGTCCTTGATCATCCCATCGACCAGCTGCGCATGTCCGAGGCGCAGTCCACCACGAATTGCCGGGATGTAATGTGGAACCTGACTCATGCTCTCTGCGCCGCCGGCTACAACTACTTCGTTGGTGCGCAGCTGTATCGATTGCGCGCCCAGAATGATTGATTTCGTACCTACGCAATCAAAGCTGAAGCAGAGCATTACTGCAAAAATAGTGGCACACAAAAATGGTAGTATGGGGCTGTTTTCTGCGCCACAATTATGTCTTTGAGAGGTGTTTCAAGTCAATCCTGCGCCTAGCTGGCACAGCATGCAGCGTGCACGCCTCTTCGGCCGCGGATGAAGCCCCACTCCCTCTCAATCTTTCAGGAGGTGTTACTGCCAACGTTTCTTGCGATAAGTAGGCTCACAGGCACATCCCTCACAACTTACCTGGACTTACTTGGACCCTCACAACTTAAAAGTTGTCAGGTGGGCAAATTCCCAAGTGAGCCCAAGCCCCTCCCTTGCTCACCAGATGCGCACACTTTATTGACCGTTGTACACTCGACGTTCACCGGCAGCCCCGCCTGAAGCGCTGCCTGCCGGGCCGGCGCCTGCCCGAGGTTTGCCGAACACACGTTGCCGAAGAACACCTGCATTAATGGAATGTCCACACAAAAAAAGGTGTATGTTTTAGAGTTTATACACGAACTCCAAAAAAACCTAATTCACCTCATCAACGGGGGGCATTCCAGCGCGCTGCAGCGCCGCTCGAATCGCCAGGGCGCCCAGGCTCGTTGCCGAAAAACCGGACAGGCAACCTAGAAAGCTGCCGATGGGCGTGCGGGCTGCTCCTACTATGTAAACATCATCCAATGCTAGAGGACGCTTTTGCTGCATGGACCCCTGATGTGCCTGCGGGCGGGGGGGGCGCGGCTGCGGCAGCTGGAGAGGCATGGTGGTGCAAGGGATTCGGCTGCCAGCCCGGCATTGGATGCGTGGCCGCCTGTGCCAGCACGTCTGGCAGATGTGAGCAGCTCACTGAAAACCGCCGTTGCCCACCTTGGATTCTGCCTGGGCAGCGGCCTGTTGGGGCACCACTCCTACCATCGACCCCAGCCCGGCACCGCCGCCTAAAAACGCTCCCAGCCCACTCCCAAGTCTTCTGATTGGTCCCGACAACATCCACAAAAGCTGGTGGCCAGCCGCGAGCCTTAGCTCCTGGCTGACTCTGGCTGGGGCTGGAAAGGAGGACAACGTCGCCGTCATCGTGCGCGTTCAGACCCACTTGGGACTTCGTCCTGCCCCGTACGGCACAAAAGTGAAGGACTCCTCAGAGAGCGCGACCCGCACGAATTATCCTTCCTCTGCTCGTTTTATCCACCCACAGAGAGCTGCGCGCCAGGGAAGCACAATAGCCTCCGGCGTGCAACAGCGGGGCGTCTCCCGGCTGTTGCAACAGTCCTCGACATAATTCTCCTGGAAGACGGCGGTGGCAACGAGAAGCGGCGAGGTGCCGGGCGGCGGGCGCTGTCCGCCCGCGGCGGGCGCTGTCCAAAGCCGCCTAGCAGATGAAGTCCTGCGCAAGCTGCGCCTGGCCACGGAGGCCGAGGAAAAGGACGATAGGGACATTATCTGCGCAGAAGTGTTTGCAGACGTGACGGGGGAGCTCAACAGCGCGGCCCGAGGTGGGTGGCTACCGTCTTTGCATGAACACGCTCTCCGTTGCAATCCGCGCCAGCGCTCGAGTATGCTGCCCTCGATGTCGCCTACTGCCACACCAGGCAGGTGGTGCTGCATTGTGCTACCTGATGCATGACTGCTCGACTTCCTGCCAGCCCCATCCCTGCCTCGCCTCCCATCTCTCATGCTGCAGACAGCACGGGCGCCCTGTACCGCCGCTGGTATGAGGTCCTTGCGCCCCATTTCTGCCGCTCCTGGGCCGCCTCAGAGGCCCTGCTGGGCGCATGCCGCCAGCTGTGGGGCCAGCCCTTCACTGCGCCCACCTATGCGCTACTCCTGCACCAGTGGCTGCTGGTGCATGAAGAGGCGGGCGGCGCCGACCAGCGCTTGAAGCACCTGAACGTCCTGTTCTCAGGCAGGTGTCGCTGCCGCCAGGGGACCAAACATCCATTATGCCGTGCCACGCTGTGATTGTGTCGGTGTGGTACCGCTGTAGCTTGCCTCACATTTGGCTATCGTTGTGGCAGAACAGGATTCAGGGCTGTTGGACAGGGTTGATGCTCTTGAATTGCTATCAGTTTTCTTCCACTCGCCCGCCGCCTGCTCAGGCGCCCGCCAGCTGTTCGTTGGAGATGCGGAGACTGGGCGGACCGCCTTCCAGCCCCTTTACTCCTTCATGGCTGAGAATGTGAGCAGAATGGGGTGGGGTGGAGACCAAGCGGCTGGGTCGAGTATGCAAGCTGGCGGGCAGTTCAGATGCGGGCACAGCTGCCGCCCGCCCGCGTCTGCTGGGTCGCTGGCGTGCGCTCTTCTCACCTGCCTTCTTTCACCTGACAGCAGCTCGTCGATGTGTCCCGCGCTGCAGGTAGTGCTGAGCGCTGACCAGCGGCGCCTGGATGCGCTGCCGCCACCCGGGCGCGACAGCATCATGGCGCTAGTGGCTGCCTTTCTCCCATACTACTGCAACAGAGAGGTGATTAGCACCACACCGCATGGTGTTCTACGCGCGTGAGCTTGTTGAAGGTCATGCTGCGTCTCACACCCCGTCCGATGGCTCACCTGCAGGAATTTCTGGCTTCCCTGGGTGTGTTTCCTAGCCCCCACCACACACTGGAGGCATCTGGAGGCGTGCACGTGGCGGGGGAGGGCGCAGACTTTGCAGTGGACCGAATCACAGGTGATCCGCTGAGCTAGTGGTATGCTGAATGTGTTGTGCTGTGTAATGGAAGGACGATGTGTTGGGCTCGCCTTCTGCGTGGACGCGGATGTGTCTACCAACATAGCTTTTCCCCTCGTTGCCACATGCCCACCGCCACGACGCCCAACCTGTGACAGATACCCTGAGCAAGGAGGTTCGGACAGAGGCGGGCCTCCTGCGTTACCTGCACATGCTGATGGCGCTGCGGGGGCGGCCCCACCTGGCACTCCTGTCGACCGCCACCCGCGTGCGGTTGCAGGTGGGGGAGGAAAGATGTTTGGCTGTACTGTTGCCGTGCCTGCTAGCCCAGCCGACAATCCCGTGCCGGGCAGTCTGTGAGGCCCGTTTGTGCCTTCCCAACTTTACATCTTCCGCTGCGTGTGGAAACACATCTGGAGTGCAGAATGCCTGTGACACAGCACTACATACACATTTACCTTGTCCCAGTTGCAAGTTGCGTGCAGGGCGAAATGTACCTGTTGACGCAGCCGGGGGGCCCACGCTATGCGGCACGACGTGTCAACAAGCTGGCTTTCGAGGCCCTGGATGCCCTCTTCCCCGCTGGCAGGTGGGTGCGGGGTGTGGACGGTTGGTTAGTAGCTTCAAGGCAGGCATGGTGCTTTTTTTCAGGTGTATTTAGCGCAGTGAAGCTTCATTGCTGCGTTCTTGACGTTGCTCATAGGTGCGCGCCCTCGCCTGCCTGCCTGTCTGCCTGCTTTCTCACCCATGCTGCACTTTCTGCCTGCATCCTGCAGACGCACGCGTCGCCTTATCAATTTTGCCTTCCGCTTTCTCCATCCACAAGAGTGGCCGTGGTTCTGGTATGACGCTTGTTCCCGCAGCACCGCAGCGGTGGTGCGGTGGCTGCTAGCGGCATGGGCAGCCGTACTTGCAGCCTGCATCCACCTGTGGCAGCCGCTGTCCCGGGTGCAGTTGCTGCAGGGGACACGGTTTCGCTGGCCACATCGTCGCAGTATGTGGCAGCGGCCGTCACGTCGTCCGCCAGATCAATAGCCGCTTTGGCAGCTTCCTGTCGCTTGTAGTCGTATGCATGCAGGTCACGCTGTGAATGTGACTTCAAACACATACATGTAACATTGCAATGCATGGTCCATGATCTGTTGTTGCTGCCCCAGGCGTGCAGCCTCCCACTCCCAGATCTGCCCCTACCACCTGCAGACGCTGCATCAGTCGCTGGCAAATATGTAGCTGCACCTCCCTTCTGTGCTGCAGCTGGTACTCCAAAGCGAGCAACTGCCAGTGTGTGTTACCGGCACAGTACAAACACACACACACATACAACTCGCAATGCTGTTTCTCTCCTCTCTCGCAAGACCCAGGGTTGGATTCGTCCAGGGTAGATTCGTCCTGCCAATACTGATGCAAGGTGGTTGCTTGATGGCCGCCATTGAGCATCACTTGGGCACTTTTGGTGGAAAGCCCCGCGCACCAAAGTCCTCGGGCACCGTCTCCGGTGTGAAGTATTCTCGCCGCACCTCGTCCGCAGACACAAAGCGCACCAGGGCCGCATATTTCTTCAGCCACTGCAGCGAGGCCAGGCGCGGGCAGACGCGCAACAGTCAAAGAAGCGAGGACAAAAAGGAATGCAGAGCTTGCAATTGCTCGGCAGCAGGGAAAGCTTGGCCATGATAGAACACGTCACAGCAAGGTTGCAATGCCATTCTCACCGGTCGTACTATCTCCCACCCAGGCTTGAACACCCATGGCGCCTCCACAAAAAGGACCTGGGACAGACGCTGCAGGCAGCCAGCACAGATAGCGGAAATGAGCACAGCAGGAGAACAATGCAGTCCAGCTGCAAGACGCCCAAGTGTCAGCAGCCGCGGCCGCACGGAACTGGACTTCAACTCACCTTTGGGTAGTAGTTGAAGAAGACGTCAACTAAGAAACGCACAAATCCCCAGTCCGCGTTGGCAGAGGTGAAGCCGCGCAGGTCGAAGATTCCCAGCACGGTCTGGGGCGGCGACGGCGTGCCGGGCGGCGCTGCAGCTGCTGCAGCCTCGAGGCGCTCGAGGGCGAGGTCCATCAGGTGAACGCACAGCCGCTGGCTGTCGTGCAGGCTGCAGGCACCTGTGGGGGCAGGGATTGCGGCAGAGGGGGGAAAGGTGTCTGCTGTGAACAATGTGTGCTGGGTGGCTGACAACCAGAGCACCTGTGACGCGGGAGCACAGCAGCATGCCGCAGATGCAACTTGCAGCTGGCATTGTGAAGCATTGCGGTGCAGCACACTGCTGCATTGGCAAGTGCATGCGAAGAACGCACCAGTGATGTGCTTGGCAGCACGTACAACAACAACAGGGCGGCCTGAAACATCATCGTGGGTGTGGAGGTAGGCCTTGCCAGTGGCCGCCTCACGAGCAACGTCGGTCCACTCAATCAGGTCGGCACTGTTGCGAGGAGCAGGCAGGGGGTGCAGACAAGTGGGCGAGCACGCATTTTGTGGCCATGGGCAGGGTGACAGCAAGATGGATGCCATGGGGGCAAGGGGTGCCGCCAGCGCGAGGCTTGGCCAGGTGCACCGCAGGACACACGCCCTGTGGCCCTGCCCTAACATTCGTAAACAGGCGGCTCCCACCCAAACTCGCGACGCCAGCGCAGCATCTTTAGCAGCTTCTCCTCCGCCTCCGCCACATCCAGCTTGCGGTCTTGCAGGAACCAACGCAGTGTGCTCTCATCCTGTGCTGCGTCAGGGTAAGGGCTGGATGCCATACGCTGCCGCAGCGCCTCCAGCGCTACCATCTGCTCGTCATCCCCTGTCCACGGCAGGATGGACAGCCCTGGCGCCGGCTGCCACTGTTGCTGAGCTGCACACAGGGGAGTCGGGCGGCGGCGCGAGGCGGGAGAAGCCAGCACCCCGCCAGCCTGCCGCAGCCGCGCCACCGCTTGCCACAGCCTGAGAGACTGCGGCCTACCCTGAGGCGCTGCGCAAGCTTGCATATGTGACACAGCCCGGAGCTGCGAGTGGCGCAGCTAGGAATAAGCCCCAATAAACCAGCAATCGTGTCTGCTGATGTCGATGCTGATGATAAATACATGTGGTCGACCCGCGAAGGGGGGTTCCGTGTGCGGTGGGATAGCACGCAGCAGGACGCTCACCAGGGCGCCCCTCGCAAGCACCCGTTATTCGTCTGGGCCCTAATAAGTGTATTTCTCATACTTCCAGCCCTTAGACACAGCACAGTGCTCTGTGTGTCACAGAAGTCGCCGATTTTCGACTTGTTGAAGCCCAACTCTTGACGAGAGCAATAATGCAGAGGCGCAGCGTCGCTAGTGGGCTGTGCGCTCGGCCATATCGCCCTCCGGCCTCCGCTGCTGTTGCCAGGGCTCGCGGCTGCCGCCCCAGCTTGCTGAAGCCCTGCAGTAGCGGCAATGGCGCACCTGCGCCTGCAACAGACCTGCGCCAGGTGGGGGGGCGACCTGAACATTGGCGGCACAAGCCGCCGCTGCTGTTGTTGTGGACAAAACCACACACACTTGTGCGCCCGCTCACATCGTGTCGCAGGTGCTGGAGGTGCTGATGCAGCGGCAAGACCTCAGCGAGCAGCAGACGAGCGAGGCGCTGCAGGCGCTGGTGGCGGGGGCGGAGCCCACTCAGATGGCTGCTTTCTTGGTGCTGCTGCGTGCCAAGGGCGAGACGGCCGAGGAAATTGCCGGGCTGGCCAAGGCCATGCGTGCCCTTAGCATACCTGTGCACACCAGCTACGACGGCAAGTGCTGGGGTTGTGATCGGTGATTCGGATGGGTGGCTGCCGGCCGGCATGATGCCTTCCTGTGCCCCTGTCTTCGCCGTGATGCAAACTCCAGTGCCTGGCACTAGCTGTAACTCTAGTGCCTGCCGCAAGCAGCTTGCTGAGCTGTCGACTCCCGCTTTCACAGCGCTCACCCTTGAAAATTGCGCCACTGCTGCCCTATGCTCGCCGCCTGCAGTCCTAGACATTGTTGGCACTGGCGGCGACGGCATCGGATCAGTCAATATATCGACAGGGGCCACTGTGGTGGCGGCCGCCGCGGGAGCGAAGGTGGCCAAGCATGGCAATCGCTCGGGTGCGTTAGGGTGAACGGCTTGCAGCTTGCATCACGTACTGCTGTCAACACTCATGGCTCCACTGCCTCCAATTGCCTGCATGCCATGTACCCTGTTGTGCAGTTTCCAGCTTATGCGGAAGTGCGGATGTTTTGGAGGCGCTGGGAGTTGCAGTGGAGCTGGGCCCGGGCGGTGTGTCATTGTGCCTGGAGGAGGCAGGCGTGGGGTTCATGTTTGCCCCAACATACCACCCAGCCATGAAGGTGTGGCAGTATAAAACTCTGCAAGGAGCTTGTTTGTGGAGCTCTGTGGTTTTCACCACTGCTTGCCTGCCCACCATCCAAACCTTTTGCTCACCGCATCCGGCATTGCATTGCATTGCAGACAGTTGTTCCCGTGCGGAAATCACTGCGGGTTCGCACCGCCTTCAACCTACTGGGGCCCATGCTGAACCCAGCTGATGCTGCCTATGGGCTGGTGGGCGTCTACTCGACTTCAGTCAGCCACCTGATGGCTGACGCGCTGCAGGCAAGCGGAATGGTGCCCCTCTACCAGCCTCTCGCTGTCTTTGTCACGACCTCATCATGTGCCCTGCTCACCACCTATGAACCCGGTCATTGCCCTGCAGCGGCTGGGCGTGAAGAAGGCACTAGTGGTGCACTCGAGTGGTCTGGACGAGCTAACGCCCATGGGACCTGCCGATGTGGTGGAGGTCACGCAGCAAGGTGAGTGGAAGGTGATGCGGTACAGAGCCACCAGCCTGCTGCAGGTCTGACGAGGTTTGTTTTTTACCTGGCCGCTCGTGCGCATCAGTTGCATCTCGCTGCCTTGGCTGCCCATCCACATTCCCTGCCCCCGTTGGCCGCATACGATCAGGCAAGCACAGTTACTCGCTAGAGCCTATCGAGCTTGGCATCCCTCGCTGTGAGGTGGCGGACCTGGCCGGCGGCGATGCTGCACTCAATGCGCGGATACTCATGGTGCGAGTCAATGTGGGCGTTTATGAGTGGGTGGAGATGGTGTCTTGAGATGGTGTCTTGAGCGAAGGACATGCTGCATGATGAATCACACGGGCTGGCTAACCCGACTGCCATCTCAATTGCAGAAACGCCTCACTGTCTGTCCATGAATTGGCCTGTCCGGCGCCTGCTGCAGGATGCGTTTGGGGGGGCACGGGGCCCAGTGGCGGATGCACTCAACCTCAACGCGGGGGTGGCGCTAGCGGCAGCCACGCTCGCGGCGGACGCAAAGGAAGGAGTGGCCATGGCACAGGACGCGCAGCGCAGGTGGGATCGATAACGCTGGGTTCCCAATGCAAGTATTTGGCACCCGCTGTGCCCCGCTGTGTGTTGGATTTCTTGGAGGTGCATGGCACACGCGAGGGCTATTCATCTGCCGCGCACTGAACCGCTCCTGAATTCCTCCCACGCAGTGGCCGGGCGGGCGACACAATGCGCAAGTGGCTGGAGGTCAGCCAAGCAGCGCGGGCAACAGAGCTGGCAGCGGCAGCAGCACCAGCCCCCGCCACATGATCATTTTGTAGTTCTGCTGCACTTTGTTCGCGATACTCTGCAGCAGTGCTTGTTGAGTGTTTTGGATTGCAATGCTTATCCGCATGTCACTGCCCGTCTACAGCAATGCATGTCACTGCCCGTCTACGGCAACCCAAATGACGGCTCCACCGCCTCAAGACCACGTGCCCCTGGCTGGCCTCACACAGTGCGGAATTTGGGTTACACCTCATTCAAGCTCTTGCCAAGCCACGATGCTACATCAATCCGTCAATCGCCGCATTGAAATGGGCTGGGAAGATCAGCAAGGTGAATAGGCTTTGCAGTCTAGCGGAGACGGCGGGCCTCGCGCTCAGACTCGAGCAGGGTCAGGATGTCGCCTGAGTCGTGGGCAAAGAAGGGCAGCAGCACGTGGGTGAGGCGGTCGCCCGCTGTGCTTGCGCATGCCTGCGCCGATTCGCCCGTTGCGCTACCCACCCCGTCCCCTCAAATTTCAAGGAGCTTCAAAGCTCACCTTCGCGCACGGGGCCCTTGACGTTGCGCATGATGAGTCTGTTCTGATCGTCCAAAAACTTGACGCGCACCTGGGTGACCTGCAGACGGGGCGGTAGTAAACAAAACAAAAAAACACTGAAAAATCAGCCGCAATTTTTGGATCGATCGTCAATGAAAATTGCTGGCAACTCTGTGGCCTGCAGGAGAGCGGGGCAGGGTTGCAAGCTGCCACACGGCCTGCGCACCTGACCCCGACTGCCTGTGCGGCCCATGACCTTCATGACGATTGCAAGCTTCACTGGCGTGTCCTGCATCATGGGAGGGCTGGGCAAGGGGCTGGGGAGCAGCGCTAGCCTCGATGCAGCATGCAGGCGGCTGCCAACGGGGTGCGCCTCTCGCGTCCTGGCTGCGCTACATGCCGCCTACTTCCCCTGAAGGCGCGCTGCAGGAGTGACAGCACGCTGGAGAGGCGCTCACCATGATGAGGCCGCCTCGTGCCTCGGTGCGTGCGCCTCCTGCTGAGTGGTCCGCCAGCGGTCGGAAGAGGGAGGGCGAGGCGCGGAGAAGTCGCATGAACTGCCTGAAAGTACATGTGTTGTATTGCCTGGCCTTTTCTCTGCGATTGTGTTGCTTTCTCATGTCGTTTTGTCGTGTCGGAGCATGTGTGCGCGCCCACGAAGAGCAGACGCCCCTTCTCGCTGCCATTGTCACTCCTTTCAGGCTGCATTTCTCGCTCGCGGCCGTCTTTGGCTTGCCGGATAAACTCCATTCGCAGGCTAAAGCGTCATCTAAAGCATCGGGACCCGGCGGGCCGCGATCGGTGGCCCCTGCGGATCAGTGAGAGTCCTCTCTCCCCTGCCCTTCCCCATAAGGCAAGCAAGCAAGTCAGACATCGGTCAGTGCCCCGAGGCGGACAGTGCACTTGGCGGTGGCCGGGCTCTCTGCCGCCGCCGCTGACGTGTGCCCCCTGCACTGGTTAGTTACGCGGTCAAGGTGTAGCTTTCATGACGTCTCACCGCAGTTGCTGCTGCGCAACGCCCGCCGTTGCCGCAGCACACATGCCTGCCCAGCTCCCCCACCCATCTCGCTTTTCCACGCAGGCCCGCCAACCTCGCCGCTGGTGCCGCCATGGGAACACTGGAAGGCCTGGTGGCTCAGATCCAGGCGCTGTCGGGGGATGCCGACCTGGGCAGCCTGCAGAATGTGCTCAAATCGGTAGCCCAGGACAACGTGATGCGGCAAAGCGCGGGCGGCCTGCTGACGGCGGTGGCCAACCTGGATGCTGCTGCTCACTCCTTAGGCTGCCTCCACTTGCTGTGAGTGGTGTGACTGTGACTCGGTTGGGGGCATCAGCCATGCCATGCCCTGTGTGTGGTTCTTCTCGCCAAACTCTAGCAGTAGTAGTTCTCATGCTGCGTGCGCCAAGCCCTGCCCCGCCGTACGCACCCTCGCCTCGTTGCAGCGAGGCCAAGGCCCGCAGCACCAATGCGCAGCAGGGTGATGGCGAGTTCCTCGAGGCCGCCTGCCGCTTCCTGCTTGCCTGCACCGCCGCTCAAGTGCGCCTGGCGCCCAGCAAGTGTGAGCGCACCGGCAGCAGGGCGTGGTCGCAGGGTGCGGCTTGGGGGCTGGCACATGTGGGTCAGGCGCCTTGGCTTCAGCGCAATCCACACAAAGAGCGCAATCCTGATGCCCAGTCAAGCTCTACAGCACAGGTGGTCAACAAGAGCTGCCTGAATTGTGCCTGTATCCCCTCCTTCCTCCTGGTTCAGTCACGGCGCTGTGCCGCGCGGTGAAGAGCCACTGCCTGGCCTTCAACCAGCCCAAGCGGGGCGTGCTGCCGCTGCGCGCCGCCGTGGCCAAGCTGTGTCCCTCAGCAGACTACCTGTCACCCGTCCATGGCGACCTCTTCCAGCTGTGAGGTTCAGCGAGGCGGCCTGGGCTGCGCACTACTTCAGCCCGCCAGTCAGTGCAAGCCTGCAGGCACTGGGGCCGTCCATGAGCGTGTGCACCGTGTGCCAAATCCAAATGTGGCTGCATCCCCCACCCCATCCCCTGCTCTTGCCTGGCTGCACATGTGCCTAACCGCCCACCCGTCCGGCCCCCACCCTGCAGCTGCTTGATTTCCAAGTGTTACAACGGGGCAGGGGCGGCGCTGGATGCTGATGTGTACAGCGTGGATCCCTCCAAAACAGCCACCACGCCAACCGATGTGCTGCTCTACTGCTACTATGGAGCGCTGCTGGAGATTGGCAGGTGGGACTTTTTGGAGGGACATGGGCGCGGAGTCTGTAGTGGCCACGGCGTTCTAAGTCTCACGCGCGCCACGTTATTGAACCTGGCACCACACTGCTTCAATCTAATACCCTGCCCTGCAGGCGGCGCTACGCTCGTGCCCTGGAGCTGCTGCTGGCGGCACTGACGGCCCCTCAGATGGTGCTCAGTGCTATCACCGTGGCCTGCCTCAAGAAGTACATGCTGCTCAGCTTGATGGCCACTGGCAGCGTGCCAACTCTTCCCAAGCACACGTCAGCGCTGGTCACGTAAGTGGATCAGCCACCTAGGCGCTCTGCTTAAGTTAGGGCCTGGCTGGAGCGGAGCTTTGGTAGCACCCGTGCTGTGATGGTCGATGTTGGGAGCAAACGCCGTCAACCTGCGTGGCCCCTGACCAAGGGCACGCCTGGACATGTGCCTGTCCCTGACCCCAAAAAGCACCAGTTGGGGGCAGTCGCACCCAGCCACCACGTGATGTTCATGCTGAATTTGCAGGCGAGCCATCAAGAGCGAGTGCGGCCCCTACTCTGATCTGGCACGGCTGTGCGGGCAGGATAAGAGCGCGGCGGAGCTGGCGACGTTTGCCCAGGGCAAGCAGCGGGAGTTTGAGCAGGTGGGCGAGAGTTGTGCTTGTGTGACAAAGGCAGGCTGCTGCAAGGATGGGAGGCGTGTTTGTTCAGTAGCGGCAGCTCGGCAGATGCCCAGGCTGTGGTTTGTGAGCCGCTGTGCAGGACGGGAATGTGGGCCTGGTGCGGCTGGCAATTGAGGGTCAGGCTCGGCGGCAGATCCAGAAGCTGACGCAGACCTATCTCACGCTCAGGTGGGCAGCATGGGGCTGTGTTGTGCCGTGTGATTTCATGACATCCGCACCAATCTAGCAGGATGCCAAGTGGTTGCCAACCTGCCTGCTGGCGTGGTCTACGCGCGCCCCTCGCGCAGCCTGGCCGACATTGCGGCGCAGGCGGGACTGGGCGGGTTGGCAGAGGCGGAGCTGGCAGTGCTGCGCATGATGGATGCGGGGGAGGTGTCGGCACGCATCAGGTGCAGGGCAGCGGTCCCAGCCCTGGCAGGCTAAGTATACACGGCGGCCGGCGCCACTGGTCATGCATCCGCACGTTGTTGGTGGCACCCCTAAGCGCTCTTTATCACCCCCCCCCCCCCCCGCCCCCCCTAGTGCAGTGAGCGGGACGGCATGGTGCACTTCTTGGAGGAGGAGGAGTCGTTCCACACAGGTGAGGTGGGGCCGACCCCAGTGGCAATCAGGAGGTGGCTGGGGCTTGAGAGGCTTGCAGGAGGAGGCAGGCAGCGATCACCCCACTCTGCCACCACCTGCCACAACATGCGCGTCCGCCAATCTTGCAGAGGCCATGACGGCAGCGCTGGACTGCCTGATCGCGCGCTCAGTGGAGCTGGCAGACAAACTGATGGCCTTTGACGTGGCCATCTCCTCAGACAGGGCCTACATCACCAAGACTGAGCTCAAAAGCCAGCGTAGCAAGGACACCCTGGGCCCGGCGGCCGGGACGGTGGCACCCGCAGCCGTGGAGCAGGCTATGGAGGGCTTCAAATGAGGGGTGTGGGGGCTGTGCGGCGCCGTCTAGAAGCTAGCATTCCCCACAAACTTGCGAGCGCGCATAGCTTGTGGTTTGCACACGAGTGTTATGTACAATTGTTGCCGCGCAAGGAAGGAATACCATGTCTGTGCGGGAGATAGCCCACCCGGCGCTCATGCGCGCGCCAGCAGGACCACCTGGCCACCTGGCGCCAGGCGGAACCCGGCCTCGCTGAAGGCGGGGCTCTCAAAGAAGGGCTTGAGGTCAATGATGTCCAGGTCACGGCACCGCTCCTCCAGCTGCCTGCAAGTCAGTCCCACCAGGTGGAGACAGCACGAGTGCATGTCGAGGCATTCATTGGGGGCGCCGGTGCAGCCCTTCCAGCTTGGGGACACGACTGGCAGACCAAGGCGCACCTGACAGGCACCACATAGTTGTCCTCATCTTCCTGCTGCCCTGTGATGGCCTCCACGCGGCGGGCGTCCCGCAGGCACTCCTACAGGATGAGGGGCGGGTGTGGCAGAGCAAGCCGCGTGAGTTCTGGCCACAGGCTAAACAGCAGCACATGCCACTCCCCATCCCTTCGTCACAGCTGCACGTGTGTGCAACATCCATTGAGTTGACCATCGGACATTGACCCTGCCCGCCCACCTGGAGCTTGAGCAACACAAGGCCGTTGAAGTCGGCTGTGGCGGCAAGGTAGCGCCGGAACTTGCGGCGCAGCGCCTTCTGCACGCTCAGCTTCTGGCTGGCCACAAAGCTCTCCAGCATGATGCTGCCGGGGAGAGGGACGAAAGTGGCGGGGCGGCATGAGGCAGAGTTATGGCCATGCGAGAGAGGGGGCAGCTTGGCAGGCGGCCCCAGAGAGCACGCTTCCCCGCCTGGGGCCACCCCTGCTGCTCGCCCACCCACCGAATGGCGCAGTCAATGTCGGCGTCGTTCACATACTCGCGCAGGTGCATGGCGGCGCGCGCCTCAGACATCCGGATCATGCTCTCCAAGTGGCGCACAGCAATGGGCATGCCATGCGTCACGCTGCTCTCCTTCCGCAACTCCGCATACACCTGCGATTGGGGAGGGCAGAGCATGAGATGCAGGGGTTGGTATTTCTTGGCAAAAAGCTGGGGCAGGTTTGGCCAGGAGATGGGAGAGAGGACGGCACCATTGGGATGGGAATCGCCGGCATCAGCACGGCCTGACCACACAGCCGTTCCGCTGCACAGTACGTTTGATCCCATCCCACCAACCACACCTGCGCAATCTTGTCATAATCGGCCGACTGTAGCTTGGGACGGCATGTCTGCTTGGCATAGGTGATGTACTTACGCAGCATTTGCTGTGACAGCATGCCCGCGGTGCCGCTGGTGCTGGCGGCAGGGCCGCTGCGGGCAGAGAGGTGGCCGGAACAGATGACAAGGGAAAAAAGGTGAGAAGGTCTGCCCACCAGTGAAAAGCATCCCATTGCCATGCGCCTCGGCAGCAAGCAGCACCCCCGATCCAATACATCCCCGATTCCCCCCGAGCTCACTCTGCGCCGTTATTTCCAGCTGCCGTGCCGCCCTCCTCCTCGGCGGCGGCAGCCATCGCCACATCATTGGGGTGGGAGGCGGCATGCGAGCCCACGACAAACTCGGCCAGCTTCTCATCATTCACTGGATCCACGGTGTCCTTGATGACGCATAGGATGTCGAAGCTGAGGGGTTGAAATTCATTCAAAGATGGTTTTGTCAGAATGGACCAGAAAAGCGGGCGCGACGCAGGTTGGCATGGCGAAGAAGCTGTGCACAGAGGCCTTCCAGCATCACACTCACCGCGACAGGATGGGGTCAGTGAGCTCCACATTCTCGCTGAAGGTCTTGGAGGCATCGTAGCGGCCCCCAATGGGGTTGGCGGCGGCGATGACGGAGCAGCGCGCCTGCAGCTGCGTCACGATGCCCGCCTTGGAGATGGAGATGGACTGCTGCTCCATAGCCTGCACCGCAGCAGAGAGCAAGCCCCAGCAGCGGTGTAGGAGAGTGGTGATGTAGGTAGACTGTGCTGAAGCACGGCATCTGCAGCAGCAACAAACCACCCTCCCAGAGCAAGCCCCACCTCGTGGATGGACACGCGGTCCTGGTCGTTCATCTTGTCAAACTCGTCAATCAGGCACACGCCCTGCAGAGAAGTGCGAAAAGAAGGGGCCAGCCTAGGAGAAATGGAAGGGTGGCAGTTGCAGGGAGCAAAAACAGCAGCAAGAGGGGCGGGCATCACATGGAAACCACGCAGGGCAGCTGACATGACGTATCCCAGCCCCACACTTAACGCACCCTATCTGCTAGCACCAGCGCGCCGCCCTCCAATGTCCACTCTCCGGTGATTGCGTCCTTGTGAACTGCAGCCGTCAGGCCCACAGCGGAGGCGCCCTTGCCGGTGGTGTACACGGCACGGTGCGCCACACGTTCAATGTACTTGAGGAACTGCAGAGGTACAGTAGGGGCTTGGCACGTCAGATAGGAAGGCCACCCGTATATTCGGAAGGTGGCGGTCATTTTCCAGCTGGCAGCCGGCACAAGAAAGTCCCTGCCCTGACAACCCTGCCCAACTATTTACCTGCGACTTGGCGGTACCGGGGTCGCCCAGCAGCAACATGTTGATGTCACCACGCAAGCGGTGCGTGGCGCTCGGGTGCTTCTCCTGGCCGCCAAACAGCGCCAGCGTGATGCCCTGCTTGATGTTTTTGTGGCCGTAGATGGAGGGGGCAATAGAGGCCACGATGCGCTCGCCTGTGGGGTGGCATAGAGAGGGCGACAAAAGAACACAGTGCATATCAAAAAAAGTGCTGCAATCTCAGGTAAGTGTTGTGGCCCATTCAAGGACAACGTTGTTGTTGTTGTAAAGGCTTTGCCCGCAACTGCTCAGGTCCGCTCACCGATGCGCGGGTCGCGCCCGAGCGCCCGGATCTCCGCCTTGTCGTCATCGGTCAGCCGCGCCACGCTGTACTGGTCCCCCTTCTTCTGCACGTGGTTGGCCTCAATGTTGACAGAGTAAACGGGGAAGCCGTGCCGTGCATTCTGCGCCGCCTCGAAGCTGTGCTGGTAGATGCCTGCAACAGGGGGGGGGCGGTGAGCGAGGGAATGGACTCCGCTCTGCTATTGAGGGCGGGGTCAGCAAATGCTGTACAGGGCGCTTGGAGGACGGTAACGCTTGCATACAGGGCTGGCGGGCCACCTGCACAGATCATCGCAGATCATATCAGCTGATGCGGCATGGCCCCAGGCACTTCTACAGCAACCAGGGTGCCCTCCCTCAGTACGCACCTGTGACGATGACCTCCTCGCCGGGCCGCACCGAATCGACCAGGTCGTGTAGCAGGATGATCTCCTTGGAGCGTGGCAGGCGCCCCGCGGGCACGCTGCCAGGGCTCTCCTGCAGCGTGACCTTCTGGTAGTTGCGGTACACTGTCTCCTTGACATTGACCTGCGCACCAGGGTGGTACAAGAGTGGTCATGCACACATCCGAGCATGCACACACGCAGATGCACACACGCAGATGCACACACAGCTCGTTGCAGACCTGGAAGGGCCCCTTAGACTGGCAGGAAGGGCAGGAGCCCAGCTTGATCTCCTTGTCGCCGGTCTGGAAGTAGGGGCCTAGCACGGCAGCGCACTTCATGCAGTCGTAGAAGGTGCGCTGCAGCTGCGGGTACACGCCGGTGCGCCGCGTCACCACGCCGTCCACCCGCACCAGCTGATTCAGATGGAAGTGGCTGCAGTTGGCCAAACGGGGGATGGCCAGCAGTGAAGGCAGGGGTGAGAGGCCGCATGCTACGGCAGAGCCTAGCCAGCGCGACAGCCTGCCTCACCGCAGGTCACGCAGCGACTCCTGGAGCGGGATATTTGCGATGCGCACAAACACGGCGTCGGCCACGTTGGAGAAGTCTTCAAACTCCTCCAGCGCCACCTCCCTGCATGGCATCGGCACGAGGGCGGCATTGAGGTCAGCGCTTTGTAACTGAGGGTACGGCTGCCTGCCTGCTGCAGTCAGCGGCTGGCAGTCACGCACAACAAGAGGCCTTCATAGCTCGCCCACACATGGGTTAGCGGCACCCCGCCCTTTGCAACCCCACTCACTTGGCCGTCTCCCCCAGGATGGGCAGCATCTCGCGCGGGTGGTCTGCCAGCCAGATGGCCACCACGGGCATGGTGTTGGCGATGTCCAGGTAGTTGACTTCCAGGGAGGAGGAGTTGGCTGCAGTAGAGCGTGTCTGGCGAAGAAAAGTGAGTGAGCCATCTATCCATCCCACAGAGCCCAATCCCCCAGCTTTGCTTGCTCACTCACTCCGAACCATGTCGCGCACGCGCTGCTTGTAGACGGCGTCCCCATTGTCATCAGAAAAAGTCTTCAGCAGGCGAGCAAAGCGGCGGTGGATCTCACGCCGCACCGGCTCCTGCGCAATCCACTCGCGGATGGGGCCCCGCGCCTGGTCCAGGTCAATCTCAACCTCACCCTGCATCATGCGGCAAGGAGAAGAAGAAAAGAGTAGAAGAGCTCAGCGTGCGCTATGTGCTACTGCTGTTACCAGCCGCTGTCGCTGGCGCTGTGCTGCCCCGCCTCACCAGATCCTCGTCCTCATCCATGCCCGCCTGCGCCTCCTCCAGCCGCCGCCGGCGCCGCGGTCGCCGCACATCCTCGTCAAGCTCCTCTGCAAGACAGCGGCGTTGCCGCAATTTTTTCCACAGACGGTGGGAGGCCGGCATGTGCCCTCCACTGTCCTCCAGCCTGCTCCCCTGTACAAGCTGCAGCACCTAGGCCCGGCTACGCACACTGCGCCAACCAGGTACGCACCCTCCAGTGCCGCAGGCAAGCCACGGCGGCGCCCAGTCAGCCGCCCCTCGAGCACGTCGCGGTCAGCCAGCTCGCGTTCCGCTGCCAGCCGTGCCGCAAACCTCTCTTCCTCTGTCACATCGTCAATGAACTGGTCGTCGATGCCCTCGCGCTCATAGCGGTCCAGATGCTCCATAGCGCGGTAGTCCCTGGGCAGCAGGGAATTTGGGCGGGCGAGCGGCGACGGCGTTCGGCCGGGAACCGGGGTGGCGCAGTTGTTGGGGGCACCGCAGCAGCCAGTCGGGCATCCCGGCCTTTATTTTGCTATTTTGTTGCTGAGCTACCCTAGGACCGGCAGGGTCCAAACATAATGAAAAAACGCCCCGCCGATCACTCGCTGGGGAGGTGATGGGAACCCTGCCTCCTCCTCCGGCCCTTACCCCTCCATCCCGTCCATCAGGTCCTCCCCCTCATCCTCAGAGCCCTCCACCGCGCGCTGGCTGGGCTCCTCCTCCTCCTCCTGGCTGCGCACCGCCTCTTCATCGTCGTGGGGGTCGCGGTCGGCCTGCGGACACATCACATCATTGATCCGATCAGGCCCAGGCCCTCCGCTGGTGATGGGCCGTGTCATTCACCAACAATTCAAATATGCAAGCCCCACTGCCTCCCCGATCACCATGGTTGCTGCGGCCCAGACTCCAATCGTCGTCCTGCAGATGCTGGCGGTGCAAAGCACTCCTGCGTTCTCAGGCCGAAAAAGCACAGCAGGCGGAGCAGGTCTGCTGCCACCTGTTTTCTTTTCCCGGTCCCTTTCCCAAGCTGCCCATGCGTCTGACGTCGCCGGTCTTAGCAGGTGCACTGGGCCAGGCGTGCGATGAAGCTCTCGTTCAGCCAGTCGCAGCCCACCCCCAGCGCCCAGCTCGGGCAGGGTTTCAAGGCCATGAGCCTGTCCAGCCAATCGGCGGGCGGCAGCGGGCCGGGCACGCAGGACAAGCCGCCCGTGCCCCTGTTTGCTGAGGCGGGGCCGCCGGTGTCGAGCCAGCAGCTGCCACTGCCGCCACCGCTGGAGATCCCCGCGCTCTCGCAGCAGGACCTGCTGGGCACCCAGGACTTCATCACCCCCGTGGACCAGTTTGGGCTGGAATACGACGTCAAAGACGCCAAGCGCTCCCCCACCCGCCTCTCGCCCAACCGTGTCAAGCGGCCGCGCCAGGGCGGCGCCACATGTGGGTGGTGTTGACCTGCAGGCTGCTGGTGTGCGAATGTTGGTTGTTTGCATTTGCTGGCTTTGCCAGCCTGTGTGTGCTGCTGCTGTTGCGTGCTGCGCCCCGCAACTGCTTGATGCCAGTACCCCGCCCATGGAACCGCAGACGTGGGCACGGAGGAGGCCGGAGAGCTGGTGGAGCCGAATGGCGGCTTTGCCGTCCCCTCCAATCGCTGTGCCGCTGCCGTTCATGGCAGTGGCGTGCCGCGCCGACCAATTATGCGGGTGCAATCGCCGCTCTGCTACCGCAGCATGTTTGCTGGCGGCGACAGCGAGGAGGATTTCGCGGCCTGGAAAGCGCCGCGGCTGCCACCGCAGGGCCTGACGCGCTACAGGTGCACTGGCTGTCTTGTGAACGACTCGTTCACAAGCCTGGTTGGGCTGTTTGGGATGGGCTGGCAGAGCAACTGACTGGCATGGCGGCAAGGACCTCCTAGCTCTCCCTTTCAGCACCCCATCCACGGTGCTGTCAGTTTGCCCTCCGTCTCCCCTGCTCATGCTGGAGTGCAGGCAAGATTTCAAGGAGATTGGATTGCTGGGGCAGGGCAACTTCTCCAAGGTGTTCCGCGCCCGCCACCGCTTTGACGGCCGCGAGTATGCAGTCAAGCGTACGCAGCGCGCTGCCGTGCCCGACGGCTCCTCCTTTGCGCAGTTCATCCAGGTGGGGCCTGCATGTAGTTCCAGCAGACCCTCAGCACAATGGGTTGTGTGCTGGAAGCAGGGCCGTCGCTGCTGCTTTTGCTGTTTAGGCCTGGAGCTTCAGCAGGCAGGCAAAGCAAAAACTGAGCTTCTGATGTGCAGAATGTGTGAGGGTGCACAATGGCTGTTGCATCCACTCTGGTGCATGCCACGTCGTGCGTCAGTCCTTCCTACCTGCCGCATCCCTGGCCTTCAGGAGGCGCAAGTGTTGGCTCACCTGCCGCCGCACCCGCACATAGTCCAGTACTTTTCCTGCTGGTCAGAGCCACACCAGGTGCGTGCTCGTGTGTGCTTTGCGGCGCAGGCCAACTCCTTTATTAATCTAATCCTGCAGCCGCATCTCTCTCCAACTCATGACTGGCCAGTGCACTGCAGGGCGGCGAGCACCTGTACCTGCAACTGGAGAAATGCGACGTCTCTCTGGGCATTCATGCCAGCCTTGGGGAGCAGCTCAAGGAAGGGGATTTGCTGGAGGTGTTGCGACAGGTGGGTGCAGATGATGAGTGGCAGTTTGAGGATGAACGTGCTCCACTTCCCCGGCGTTGTGGCCTGCGTCAGCTCTTGCACTAGTCACCAAATCCTGCATTGCGCTGATGTGCCCCCAGGTGGCATCGGCTCTGGCCCACTTGCACCGGCATGGCGTTGTACACATGGACGTGAAGCCCGATAACATTTACCTGCAAGACCTGCCGGAAGAGGAGGCCCTGGCTGGCGGTGGTGCAAGCACCTGGGAAACCTGCCCTGGGGTGCGGTACAAGCTGGGCGACTTTGGGCAGGCCACGCGGCTGGACCTCAAAACGCCGATGGCTGTGGATGAGGGTGACTGCCGGTAGGTGTGCAAGGAGTAAGGTGGCTGACGCCAGTGGTCGATCAATTCAGCATTGCTGAACAAGGCATCGCTGCCCGCAACCGCACGTCCCAACTGCTGCTGCAAGCTCCCACCCTCTGCAGCTACTTGCCCTTGGAGGTGCTGCGTGGCGAGCTGGGCCAACTTGCCAAGGCAGATATGTTTGCGCTGGGGGCCAGCCTGCTGGAGCTGGCAACCCGGGCGGAGCTGCCTAGTGGCGGGCACCAGTATGCTGACTTGCGGGCGGGCAAGCTGCCGCTGCTGCCCACCTTTACGCAGCGCTTTGCCAACATGATCAGGTGGGGCTGATGCTGCGGTGGATGGTGGCTTCTGGTTGCTGGGCATGTGGGAGACTGACAGGCACGTGCCGCCGATTGGGGAGGGAAGGAAGGCGGTGCCATCTGAGCAGTGATCTGTGCCTTTCGTGGCGTGACGTGCAATGCTGTGTTTTTTCCATGCAGGACGCTCATGGCACCCAACCCACTGGACCGACCCAGCGCTGAAAAGGTGCTGCAGTCACCGCTTCTGGCATGCAGGTCGGCATCGCCGCCGGGCACGCAGCAGCAGCAACCCCTTGTGCACCAGCCCAGCACGGCCTCCACACAGAGCGCATCCACCATGGACACCAGCGGGGGCGGCACAGCAGTTGCTGCAGGGGCTGCTGGTGGAGCGGTCAGCAGGCAGTTTGGCGGGCTGGTGCTGCAGCGATCGACTGCGAAGAGATGATTCTACGCATCATATGCTCCGTTTGATGCATAAATTGCACTGAAGCTGTGCATGCAATGTCACCGCGAGGATTTGCTTTTCGCTGCAGGCAGAACAGCCCGTACCAGCTACCAGGTGCTGGACAGCTCCCTTGCGCAGGCGCTTGACAGCCAGGCCACAAGGGTGCAATACGGTAAAAATCAAAGTGTTTGGCTAAAAATGCTGGAACCGTGCTGCAAAAACAACAAAGACCCCAGCAGGCGCCGCTGCGCTGGCGCCAGTGGAGACGTTCGTTAGAGCATCCGGCATGGTTGATGCCACTTTCGAAAGAACCACACTTGTCTCTTTGAGCTGGGTTGACTGCAGGCGGACCACAGGCGCAGCCTCCCCAGCTCTGCTCACGTCCTCCAGTAGCAAATTGGCTTGCCGTCAACCCAGTCAACATTCCCCAGAGGCGTCGCGGCAGGGCCGCCGAGTCCGTGTCGAGTGCGTGATGAGTGTGGAGGATTCTCCCAGCGTCTTTATGGACTGCGCAGTGGCGCTGGTAAATGAGCTGAATAATGAGAGGTGCGATGGACGGGGTGCGCCCCCCGCTCATGCCCGGCGGTCGCATGGCGGTGCCGTCAGTGAGGCGGTCGCATGGCGGTGGCGTCAGTGAGGCGCCGCCTCTGCGCCCCTTGCAGGCCCACGCCATTGGCCAAGCAGACCGAGGCAGTGCATCTCTTCCTGTCCATGCTGGCTGACACCAAGGTCCAGCTGCCGCCGGCAGAATGTAGGGACCTGCTTCAGCAGGTGTGCCACACTTGCCAGGCGCCCCCAGCTGGCCCTGCCAGCATCGCTGCTGGCGAGTTGGTCTGCGGGTGCCTCGATCTGCTGGCTCAGCTTCCGCAATGGTACCCTAAAACACCCAAGCCAGAGCTGGCAGCAGCAGTGACGGCAGTGACAGCTGTATTGGAGCGGTATGCCATCAGCATGCTGCCCAACGCCAGCACCTGGCGAAGTGGTTGGGGGGGCAGTGGCGGCATGCCTGGTATTGCCGAGGCGCCCGCCACCACGCGCCTACTGTGCAAGCTACTCAAAGCATTGCAAGTGTTGTTGGCAGAGGTAGGTTAGAGTGTGGCACGATGTGCTTGAATGTTGTAGCGAACTGTTAATCAGCGCAGGTAACTGCGGTGGTGCCAAGCTATTGCAGGCAAAGAAGGATCATGGAGGTAACGCCTTTGCTATGGCGACAGCGCTTCAAAATCTCTTCACATACGGCTGGCAGCGCAACCAAGACAGCGGCCGCGGCGGGGTTGTCACTCCCATAGCACCCAGCCGGGTCTGTCATACGGGGCATTGCGTCTTAGGTGGCGGCGATGTGCAGTTGCCTGGCAAGTACCGCCCTCCACAGGCTCGCACGAGCAGCAGTGGCACCCAGGAGGGTGCTGGTGAAGGCTCTCGCAGCAGCAAGGGCCTGTCTCATCTGCACCAAGAGTCGTCTGATAGCGAGAGCAGCGATGCAGAGGGTGGTGGAGGAAGCGAGCGCTACCGCTCCAGCCGCGTGCGCTCCGGTGCACTGGCCTGCCTGCAGCTGCTGGCCAAGGCTGACCCCAAGAGCCTGCACGGCAGCTGGACGGCGTTGCTGCCCATGTCGGACTTGGTGGGTCGCTGGAATCATAAGCAACCTGGCTGTCTGCATTCGTTTTGCTGGCAGGGTAGCGTGTGCATTCGTTGACCATGCATTTCTGTGTCCCTCTGCAATCCCGGAAGCAGACCAGCAGGCATCCAAGCGGGACAAGCGGCCGAAGCAGCGCTGGCGCATCGATGGCCCACATGCTGCTGCTGGACCCCCAGCTGCGCGTGCGGCATGCCGCGGCCGCCACCATAGCAACTCTTTTGGAGGGTCCAACCCAGCGGGCCTACTTGGCGGTAGCAGAGGCGCGAGAGATGGAACGGCTGCACGTTAGGTGCAGTGCTGTTCTGAGAGCCATCCACAGCAAGCAACATAGGCCTCTGCGTAAGCTGCTGTTGCCGAGGCCCATAGCCTGGGCCTCCTGCCTAGCTTCCCTGACCCTGTTGATGCCGTATGCAGGGGCTTCATCACCCTATCGGCCAGCCTGGGCCAGATGCTGGTGGCGCTTCACCAGGCACTTCTGTACAGCATCCGGCATGAGCACGACCCTCTGACCCTGGCTGCCACGTTGCGTGCACTGGGCACATTGCTGCTGGGTGCCCCCTACCATCGCCTGCCTCCACAGCTGCTGCCGCTGTGTGTAGGGGCGCTGCTGGACTGCCTGGCTCGGACAACGCCTGGCACTGGGCCGGGTGGCTTGCCGGTCGACAAGCTGCCAGTGGCCTCAGCCTGCCTCAGCTGCCTGGCAGCGGCGTTCAGCACCAAAGGTGCCGCGCCGGCAGCGAAGGACCAGCTACTACCGGACAGTGACAGCAGTGGCAGCACAACCGCCGGGAATGGACCAGGCATCGGTGTCGACAGAAGCGGAGGTGGGGCAAGCGCCCAACACCTGCTGCAGCTGCTGTTTGCCTATGCGGGCTGCCAGCAGTCAGCGCTACAGCTAGAGGCAGTGATGGCGCTACGGGGACTGGTGCAGCAGCATACGGCGCTGGTCCAAGACTACTGGGAGCTGGTGCTGACAATTGGCAGGGCAGGCACGGCAATGCTGACAGCACAGCCTGCGGTCCCGCGGACGCCCCAAATGCAAACAGGTGGGCAGGATGGAGGGGAAGCATGTCGAGTGTCAGCGTGTGAAGCTGAGCTGCAAGCTGTTGTTGCATGTGGGGTCGGAATTCCTGACGACGCCTCTCCGCACATCGCTTCATGCTGCTGGCTGCAGCCGGCGCGGACGGCACACTGCCCGAGAAGGTGGCTCAACAGTCCGTGCGTCTACCAGGGGACTTTCTGCAGGCTGCTGGCCAGCAGTTAGAGGCACAGGAGGGGCCAGCACCACTGGATGAAGGAGATGCTCCCAGCCGGTTGCAGTCAGCTGCAACAGTAGTATTGGTGCAGCAGTGGCAGCAGATGTCACAGCATGTGCTTTGCGCTGTGGTGCAGCACAGCAGCCCACTACTGCGAGCAGCAGCACAGGCTGTTATTGCAGCCCTCTCTCCTGCTGCCTATGCGGCAGTGCCAGAGCACCTGCAGCAGCTGCTGCTAGGCTGGTGTTGTGCGGCGGCTGCGGCAGACGAGGCGTCGCCTGTGCGAGCAGCAGCAGCAAAGGCGCTGGGAGCCGTGGCCATCTGCCCTGCATTATGCGCTGTTCCGAATGGTGAGCATGCCGCCGCCCATCGCACCAAGCCCCCCCGCCGCATCACGCCTCTTCACACCTCACCCACATGGATTTCTGTTCATGCCGCAGGCCCAGCGCAGGCTCTTGCGGCATTGGAGGCCGCCTGCCACGACGGTGTGCTCGCTGTGCGCATTCCAGCAACAGCCTCCCTGGCCAGCTTTTGCCACATGTTGAGCCACACAACAGCCATGGAGGCAGGCAGCGCAATAGCGGCAGGGCACCATGTGCTTCTCGGCTGCCTGCGGCTGGCTGTGGCATCTGCAGCGGATAGTGACAAGCTGCGCCCTAGTGGCTTGCAGGCACTGGGCAGCCTGTCCTGCCAGCTGGCCACACTCTCACCTGAGTTGCAGCAGACAACAGAAGAGGGTGGCGATGAGCAGCGGCTGCTGGCAGCAGGAGTGCAAGCGGTGCACCAGGCCTTGGCTGCCAGCAATGCTCGCGTGCAGTGGGCAGCGTGCGAGGCCGCTGGGCAGCTGCTGGCCTGCCAGGCAGCATCGGTGCAGCGGCATTTGGATACGATGGTGCAACAGCTGCTGCTGCTGCTGCAGGAGTGCCCCAATTTCCGCAGCCGAGCCCTGGCGGCAGCAGCCTTGCAGCAGCTGAGCAGCACGGCCGTGCGGCTGCATGGCGGGGAAAGGCTGGTGCAGGTGCTAGATGTGGCGGCGGCCGTGCTGTTCCAAGGTGGGGCACATCAGCTGCAGCCAGTTGCAGGCTGCCGCCGCTCCGCCACACAACGTTCATTTGCGTCAAAATTCCCGGCAGTGTGTGGGGGTGGAGCAAGAGGGGGTGCCAGTTAGCCAAGCAAAGGGACAGGACTGATGGCAATGCAGCCCAAACGGTTGGTGCGCCACTCGGGCCAGCCCCAGCACCCCAGCGTCAGGCCCCGTACTCCTCGGCTTGCCCGCCCGCCCCCTGATGCAGGCAAGCACTCTGGGTTCAGCGTTGCGGCGGCTGCAGCGCCGCCCAATCATCACTCGGACCAGTATCAGTATCGAGCACGGCGGCCGGAGCCAGCGGAGCTGGGGGCTAAGGCACAGCTTGAGGCGGCCTTGGTGGCGGCGGTGCTGCACATGCTGGCGCTGCTCCCCGCTGTTGCATGTGGGGCTGGTGGTGCCGGCGTCGAGGGGACGGTGTGGCCCTTGTTGGGGAGAGGCGCCCAGCTGGGGGATTTGCAGCGCCTCGTGCGGCAGGCGCGCCGGGAACTGCTGGTGGGAAACACGGAGGAGCGGCGGCATGGAGATCTGCTAGAGCAGGCAGCGGAATTAGCAGCGATGGGAGCAGCACGAGCGGAGTTTGGTTGGGGCCTGTTCGACCTGTCGCAAGCATCGGCCGAGCTGACGGCAGCTGCCGCCTGCGGGCTCGCGCTGCTGGAAGGGTCAGGGGCTGCGGCCTTACACGTTCGTTTCCGACCGAATGGCTGAAAAATTCTCACCACCAAATGCTCGACTTTTTCAATAATGACCATTGTTGATTCGCAGGCCTCCAAGGTGAACCCCGGTTTTAAACTAGCAAAGACGCTCCGCCTTCCCAGGCTGCAGCTGCAGTCTTCAATTGCCTATTCCTGAGGGTGCCACATGCAGTTCACCTGCTCATGTCCAGCGACAGGTGAACACCGCGCTCTGCGGCTGTAGTTACGCGTGAACACTAGTAGAGGAAGCCCGGGGAGCCGCGGCAATCGGGGCTCCTGCTGTTGCTTGCGTTCGCCCTCCCGGCCGGTAAACGGCAGGCCCGTTTCACTGTGCTTCACCCTCCTTCTCTGCAGCTGAATTAAAAGACGCATGTGGCCTGCCGCTTGGCCTCGTGGTGCAGCCGTTGGCGGCACCTGATGGCAGCGGTGGCGGCGTGCAGCCGCCTGCCTGTTGGGCAGCCGACGTTGCACGATGCTCACGCTGCTTGGCTTACATCAATCCTCTGTGCGGGGTGGACGATGAGGGGTGGGCCTGCGCGCTTTGCGGCTGCGCCAATGACTTTTCAACAGCCACCAGCATGAGGCGGTGAGCTGAGGACTGGTTGGCTTGACCGCGGCTGGCTGGCTCGGCCTACATGACTGACCCTTGCCACCAGGAAAGTCACGCTGCCTGCCCGCCTTGCAGCTACTATGGTGCCAGCGCGGAGTGGCTCGGCATCCTGCCAGAACTGCGGCACCCGGCGCTGGATGCGGCCTGCCCGCTTGTGCCCGCAGACCCAGATGAGGGCACACAAGAGGTGGAAGCCGTGGAGGCAGCCCCCACAGTTCTGGCGCTGGTGGATGCGTGCTGGGAGGAGGAAGGGGCCCTGGATGCAGTGAAGAGTGCTCTGACAGCGGCGGTAGAGGCGTTGCCACCCGTCGGGCGCTTTGGTCTCGTCAGCTTTGGTTCGCAGGTGTGCAGATTTGATTGTGGTAGAAGCATGAAGAAGTGGGGCGTGGCAAGCCCGGTTCTGGGAAGCGCCACTCAGTGTGTCAGGCCAGCTGTGCCAAAGGTGCCTGCGCCTGAATGGCTGACCCCTGTGTGCCTTCTTCTGCTTCTTCTGCCGCCCCATTCACCGCCGCCGCAACTGCAGATTGCACTGCACCAAGTGTCCCCTAATGGAGATGTCAGCGACCGTCTGGTGCTGCATGAACCCGCCGCTGAGGCAGAGGAAAGCCCTCTCGAGAATGTAGCACCACTGGGCTCCGTGCTGGCGCCTGTGTGCACTTGCAAGACCGCCATGCTGGCCGCTATCGAGGGTTTGGAGGCAGAGCCACCTGCGGGTGGCGGCCGGGAACGGGCCCTGGGTGACACTTTGCGCGCGGTGCTGCGCTGGGTGGCCACAGGTGCGGCAGCTGCCTCAGCTGATGGTTTTGTGCAGCAGCAGGCTGCTGCTGCTGCGCCGCAGCAGCAAGAAGAACCCGGGCGCGAAGACAGCGGCAGCGAGGAGGGCTTTGGAACCACCACCGGCAGCCTTCTGCCAGCACAGGGGTTTCCCGGCCTGCGCCTGCTGCTCTTCCTGTCCGGCCCACCCAATGTTGCAGGCGCGGTGGTGGCCCGCAAACCAGCACCAATTGATCCGAAAGAGGTTAAAGTGGCAGCAGAGGCAGCAGCTGCGGACGCTGCAAAGGTGGGGAGGCTGGTTGGCTGCGGCTGCAGGTGTCAAGTTGGGAGGTGGCTGGAAGGTGTGGGGAGGCAACCTGCGCCATGTGCCCACCAGATGATTTGCCGTGTCCCAAAAATTATCTGCCTGTTGCCTGCCACCTGCGCATTTACTCGGCAACCTGCAGAATTTTGCTGGGCTTGTGCTCGACCCTGCCTACGTTGAGCTCACTGCCTGGGGCGACGCTGCTGCTGCCAGCGTGGAAGCAGCGGCAGCAAAGGCTGCAGCAAGGGCAAAGGCTGCCGCGGATGCTGCTGCTGCTGCTGGAGACCTCTCACATGCCACGCCACCAGGCGTGGCGGAGGCAGACCTTGTCATCCAGGAGGAAGCGCGGGATTTCTGGGTTGAAGTAGGCGCCGCGGCAGCGGCGTTGGGCATCAGCGTCGACATTTTTGCTGCCTGTGCCGGCTGGATTGGTGGGTTGCCCTCCATCGCCCCAAGCACTCCTGGATTCCTTGAACCGTCTCGCTGTCCTCCACTTCTGTCTCCCTCCCTATCCGGTTCTCGCTTCCTTCTCGTCCTGCCTCTTCCTCTTCCTTGCTGCTGCTCACCAACGTGCTCCCATACCCTCATCATCGTGTGCACAGTGCCACTGCCTCCTTGTAGGCCTGAAGCTGCTGGAGCCTCTAGCCACCAAGAGCGGCGGCAGCCTACTGCTCTATAGCTCGCTCGAGGCGGCACCGCTACCGCAGGCATGCGCTGTGGATGTCAGCAGCTGTCAACTGTCGGCTGATGGCACGCGACGCCCTGCTCGGGCACCTGCGCCATCGACTCCCTGGCCTGCCCCTCACCCCCGCCCTTCTGCAGGATGTCTACAAGAGTGTGACGCAGCCACGCGCCTTTGCATGCGTATTGCGCCTGCGCTGTTCACCGGAGCTCCGCCTGGCTAGCTATTATGGTCGCTTGACGGCGGACAGGTGAGCCTCAGGTGGATCGAGATGGGCTGCATGAGGTGGAGCAGGATTGCCATGGCAACAGAACGCATGCAGTTCAGCACAACACAGCAATGGCCCGTCCTGCCCTGCTGTGCAGGGAGCCAGGCCTGTTCCGGCTGGTAGCCTGTGGCCCGGAGGATGCATTTGCCTTTGAGATGGACCGCACTGAGCAATACTCCAGTGGGGCAGCCCCTGCCGTGCAGCTCGTGTTGCAGTACAGCATGCTGCTGCCCGCCAGCCCTGCGGCAGGAGAGGAGCAGGAGGGAGGTAGTGGCGGAACACGGTGGGGCTTTAAGGGTCGCGCTGCGTGCGGTGGTGTGCAGTGGTGTTTCTCGCCGTGTGCCAAGCCAGCCCATGATGGCCCATCAAGATTTGGGAGCCCCAGCTCTGCCGCGGCCCGCTAATGCAGGTTTGTGCTATGCCGTCGCATGCGCATCCTCACGGCGGCAGTGCAAATGGCATCCACTCCGCAGCAGCTGTATGAGCACTGTGATGCCGAGGTCACCACCTGTTTGGTGGTGCACAAAGCGCTGGAGGTGGCGGCGGCCCGGGGCGCCGCTGCTGCCAGGCAGATGCTGCTGGACTGGCTGGCTGGACTGGCAGCGCGGGTGGCAGACCCAGACGCGCTTTTGTGGCATCGGCGGCGAGGCGAGACGCCTCCACCGGTCGAGGTGGGTGGATGCTTGGGGTGGGCTGCTGCTGCCAGCCTTTTCATTTCAGCTGTCCTTTCCGCCAACCAGTTCCTGCATGTGCCCTGTTCCACAGGTGGATGCCTCCCTGTCAACGGTGGAGGCGCTGCAGCAGCTGCCGCATGTAGTGTATGCGCTGCTGCGCGGCCCGCTCCTGCAAGCCACGCCAGTGGCACCAGACCCGACCCTGTTCAGAATGGCTTCATCAGCGGGAGCTCACTGGCATGCACACCCCGAGGCGGCAGCCGCGCTGCAGGCGTTGCTGCAGGTGCTGCCACCGGACGAGGCAACGGTGGCGGTGTGCCCGCAGCTCAGTAGCTGGGCCAGCCCCGACGAGGTGGCCGTGTGGAGGCATTCGCTGTCAGCAGCAGCCCTGGCAGTGGAGCAGCAGCCCATATGGTGCCTGGATACCTTCCAGCACCTCATCGTACTGTATTCTGCCACTGACTTTGGCCTGGTGGGCGGCCCGCCGCCGCCAATTTTCCCACCCCCCGCTGGCAGCCTCCTACGCCGCACGTTGGCAGGGATTCGCCAGGTGCGGCGCAGCACCCCGGAGCTGCTGCTGCTGCGCCAGGGCATCGACGACATCTCCTTTTTCAATTCCTTCTTACTCGAGGATGCGCCATCACTGCCGCCAGCACCTGCGATGGGGCCATTTGGAGGCGACGCCAGCACGGCGGGCCCGGCAGCAGCAACAGAGCAGCGCCAGCTACACCCCCCAAGCTTTGTGTCGTTCCTGGAGTCGGTGGCGGTGGCGGCACAGGAGATGCTGCGCACTGGCCAGTAACTGCTGGCCTGCCCATCCTGCATTTGTTTGAGGGTCGCCACAGACATTGCCAGTTGGCTGTCACCATGCCTGTTGTCAGCGCGAGCTGCTGGCCCCAGCGAGAGTCGAGCACAACTTGGCCCACGGAGTTCGGCATACAAATTGTGCAATGCAGCATCAATGTGAAGCCACCATCTGCTCAACAAGTACCTCCACTTCTGTTACTGCCTACTAGCGTCACTTGCTATGTGCTGGCCAGAGCATGCTAAAGTGGGAGGGCAGCTCCTCGCTCAGCTGCGCGCCGCGGCTTGCAATCTGGCGCACTCGCCGCCCCCCCTGAGGATCTTTTTCGTTGAATAGCATGTGGCTGCGCCCCGCATGTGCCACACGCACCACCATCTGCTGCTGCCCCTCCTGCTGCTGGTGCGGTGACGGTGCTGCCTCAGCTGTGCCAGCAGCGGCAGTACTGGGGCCGCTCTCCTGCAGGCCGGCGGGGCGTGGCCGCTGCGCTGCCGATGGTGCTGCAGGAATCGGCTGCCTCCAGGGCTCGCCATCCATTTGCATGTGGGTGTAGCCCTGCTCATCCTTTATCTGCGGGCTTCGGGCAGAGCAGCGGCAGGCATGTACCAGCATGGCCATGAGCAGCATGCATGATGAATGAATTGAACGAACACCATCCCCTTAGCCCAGCTTTTCAACCCTCAGGCAGGCTACGCCAGGCAGCGCAACCCCCCCCGCAGGACGTGCACGCCGCACCTTGCCGCCCCGCGCCTCCAAGTGCAGCTCCACCTCACAGCACTGCGCCAGCCTCACCGCGTGCACCTTGCTGCTGACCTGCGCCATGGTCACCGCTGCGTGCCACCCTGATCCAAACCCAACCACCTGCAGGGGAACGGGGCAGCCAGGGTTGCAGGGCATGCTGGACTGACACTCACAAGGGCGGAACAGCCACTGCGCACCTCTATCAGCCCATCATCAAAGATGGGCGCTCGCTTGAACTCCTGCCCCTTGAGCAGCGTGCTGTCACCTAGGCCCACGATGTCTCGGCCCCCACCGTAGCTCTGTGCACAGGAAACCAGCGAGCAGCGTTGACGAGGGGCATAAATGAGCCGCAAAGCCAGGCACCCTCACATCCTCACTCAGCAAAGTTAACTTTCAGCGTAAGCTGTCAACAAATCAACTCTTTTTCATCACCTGGATGTTAAGCAGCACCAACGCCCGCACATTTCGTGGTACCGTCACTTCCCGCCAGGGCCCGTCCTGCTCGTCTCGCACTCTCAGGCGCAGCTTGTTTGTGAGTGGCTGCCGGCAGGCAGGCAGGCAGGCAGGCAGGCAGGCAGCGATATGTCCAGCATGCAAAGGGAGGGTTATACTTGGCGCGCATACTCGCAAATGCCAACCGGCAGTCGTGGGTTCATGCTCATGCCAGCGTGCCTTCCAGCTGACACGCCCAAGGCACTGAGCAGCGCTCTCACAATCATGCACCCAACAACATCCATGCCCAAACCACCTGCGCGCCACAGAACCAGCCGCTGGTGCACGAGTACCAGGAGTACCAGGCCTGCGGTGCCAGGCAAGTTATGGTGATGGGGTGAGATGGGATGGGTGCGTGCCCAAAGCCTTACAAGGCTGCGTGCAACGCATCCTTCCAAGGAATCTGCCCTGCGGCGGTGCACATCCCAGTGTGAGCGCCCCCACCTGGTTGAGCACGCGGCTGGAGGCGGCCCAAGAGTGAGTCTCACGCATCGTGTGGAAGCCGTAGGCCGCCTCTGCATCCAGCCCCACGCTCAAATAGTTCCAGAACAGGCCGCCCACCTGCCGTGGCTGCAAAGGCAGAGTGCGGGGGGGGGGGGGGGGGGGGGCGAGAGAGAGAATCCATGGGCGGGGCACATCCATTGAGGCATGTGGGCTGCTGGCCCGCAACCCGCGCCGGCAAACGGCAAACCCACGTCATTAGGCTCGGCTACCAGCGCGTAGGGCAGCTCTGGAAAGAAGGAGGAGTCGGGGGCGGTGATGGTGACGCTCCAGCAGTCCAGATGGCACAGCCTGGCGTCAGCAAACCGCTTCAAGGTGGTGTAGAGCTGCAAGGGGCAAGGGGAATGGTGTCACGTATGGCAAGCGCAGGGCAAACACCCGCAGGGCCAATGAAATTGATAAGGGCAAGTGATTACAATGCTTCCCGCCCCACCTGTGGCGCCGCAATCCAGCGGTCCAGAAACAGGCTGCCCCAGCCAAAGCTGAGGCTCAGGTCATTCCCTGTGCCCAGCGGCATGATAGCCACTGCTGGCGCCGGCTCCAGCCCCAGCTCCCGAACCGTCTTCAGGATCCAGGTCACAGTGCCGTCGCCGCCAGCCGCCAGGATGCGCAGGTTCCTGTGGGAGCGGCAGCACGAGAAATGGAACGGGGAAGCCTGGCAGGCACACGGTGGGGCAGCAGGGTCGAGGAAAAGAAGTCGTGGCCCATCCTCGACCATCTGCCCCTGGACCCATCCTCAGCTCATTCTACAGGCCCTGCAGCAGATGTCGCTCCGCTCTGGAGCCTACCCCACCTGCGGATGTGACCCGCCAGCACGTCGCCCTGGTCCTCCCTGGCCAGCAGGTTGTCCCAGATGGCACGCAGCACAGGGCCGGGCCGCGACTCGGCCAGATCAAACTGCGGCAGGAGGGGCGAGGGAAACACAGTTAGACCAACCTGCCTACGGCGGCTACTATCAGAGCGGGGCAACGGCAACATACCTGTGCTGCAGGGTCTGCGCTGCAGTTGGCCCGCCGCCCGCCGCCCAATGTGCCCAACCTGCCGCCCCCGGCCCTCACCCCATGCCCCCTGCACTCACCACTTGCGCCTGGCCCAGGCTGCGGAACAGCACAGTGAGCAGGCGGGGCCCCACATGCCCGCCGCTCTTGGCATTAATGAAGACAATGAGCGGGGTGTCGGCCACGCCAGGGCCCACGTATTGCTTGGTTCCACAAAGATATTCCGCAGGGATCCTTCAAGCCGGAAGGGGGTACGATGGGGGGGGGGGGGGGGCC